ACTGTGGTGTTGGAGAAGACTCTTGAGTCCCCTGGACTGCAAGGAGATCCAACCAGTCCATCCTAAAGGAAATCAACCCTGAATATTCATTGGAAGGACTGATGCTGAAGCTGAAACTCCAATACTTTGGCCATCTGATGCGAAGAGCTGATTCATTTGAAAAGACCCTGATGCTGGGGAAGACTGAAGGCGGTAGAAGAGGACGACAGAGGATGAGATGGTTGGATGGCATCACCGACTCAATGGACATGAGTTTGAGTAAACTCTGGGAGTTGGTGATGGACAGGGAGGCCTGGCATGCTGCAGTCCAAGGGGTCACAAAGAGTCAGACACGACTGAGCGACTGAACTGAACTGAACTCTTCCCAGTACATTTCCCTGACTCCTGTAGAACTGAGGTGTTCAGGAGGACCTGGGTCTTTTTCTACTGTATTTGTCATACTATATAAGGCAAAACATACAATGGAGCCATTAGGCCTTTAATCATCCCTGTTTAATGAATGAAAAATATACAAACATACCCATATAGTTTACAGAAAGAGGTTGAGGAAACAAGAAAGGGTCAGAGATATTTAGGTTCAAATTTTAGTCCATTCTTACAAGCATGCCAATGTAATCTGCCAACACCTCAGTTCCTTCGCTCCTATATAAAAACAAGGCCACTTTCTCCAAAGGGCTGTTCGAAAAGAATCTCAAATGACCAAACAGAGTCCCTATATAGGAACCTCCCTGGTGGTCCATGGGCTAGGACTCTGCACTCCCACTGCAAGGGGCCTGCATTTGATTCCTGGAAGGGGAACTAGATCACACACGCCACAACTAGATTCCACATGCCACAACTGAAACCTGCCCACCGCAGTGAAATAAATAAAAACAAAAATATTTTAAAAAATCCTATACAATGTGTGGACAATACGGGTGCTCAGAAAGAAATGTTGGTTTATAATGACTTCCAAGCAATGTTTAAAATTTCTTTCCATTTCTTTCGTCTTAACTTCTCCCATCTTTCCCACAAGCAAATAAAAACCTCATATTTTTAGGTTATCATTTTTTCTATTCCTAGAATGGTCTCTGGTCAAACAAAAACCCATACAAAAAAACAGTAGATACTAATCAACGAGTAGAATGTTAAAGAGGATGAACTGAACAAAATCCTAAGCTGACACTTCTTTACTAAATAATTCTCATGAGAAATCATAATAAATGAAATTCACATAATAAACAAAAATTTATCTTAACTTTTATTTCACCAAATACTCCCTTGCAATTCACAATAACAAGTTAGATAAGGGACTGCCCTGTTGGCACAGTGGATAAGAATTTGCCCCCTAATTGAGGGGACACGGGTTCAATCCCTGACTCAGGGATTGCACATGCTACGGTGCAACTAAGTCCATGAAGCACAACTATTCGAGCCTGTGCTCTAGAGCCTGCGAGCTGAGACTACTGAGCCCCATGCTGTAACTACTGAAGCTGGTGCACTCAGAGCCCGTCCACAACAAGAGAAGTCAGTGCGGTGAAAAGCGCTTACCGCAACTAGAGAAAGCCTGTGCAAAGCAACAAAAACCCAGGGCAGTCAAAAATAAAAACAAACAAAAGACAGGCTAACGAGAGAAATCCAAAGTCTTATATTTCATAAGGAAACATTTTTCTCTGTATTATTTCATCATCATCAATACATATTAGTGCAACTGAAAATTAAGTATCACAATAAAAAGTATGATTAATCTACCGCCCAAGCATGATATTATCTTGATAAGGAAAACCTACGTCATTCTATCTTCAAATCTGTGTGCTATGGATAAAGCACTGTTTTGTTATATAAAGTGTAAGCTTAAATGGACATTTGATTCTTCCTTTCTTTGAACTCTGAACTTGGAATGTGGTTCAGAAAGACAGGAGGCATACTACTGAATCCCCACTACAACTTTGCTGAGTCAATTCTATAGGAAGTACCACTTGCTGTTTCCTAATTTATTCTGTTAGTCACAGCCCAAGATAAATCACTTTAACTGTAATAGGCCAGCATTAGTTATAGAATTCTGGTCATGACTCATTTAGAAATTTAACATCATCCTTGTTCTTTCCTTAACCCTATATAAATGGTGGGTGTTGTTCACTCACTCAGTCGTGTCTGACTCTTTGTGACTGCATGAACTGCAGCACGCCAGGCTTCCCCGTCCTTCACTATATACATCCCTGAGTTTGCTCAAACTCATGTACACTGAATCTGTTATACCATCCAACCATCTCATCCTCTGTCATCCCCTTCTCCTGCCCTCAACCTTTCCCCACATCACGGTCTTATTAAATGGTAAAAGGACCCAAATTCTGCGGCTGCAACTAGTGAGTACACAATGCACTTCAAAAAGATTAGCTAGCAAGGCTACCCTCCAGGTACTATGAGTGAAGCTTACTGTTCATGTCATTCAAGCAATCACCCTGTGGAGTCTCCAGTGCTTCCTGCAGCAGTCTGATTCAAGCTTTGTACACTGTAGAAACCATACGTTCATTAATGAATCAGGAAAATCTAGCCTCACAAGACTGAGGTTGCTTGATTTTGGGGGGAGATGTGGCGAAGAAGTCCTCTTTTAAATCCCACTAAACCAGAAATGGCCAACTCTGCAACCTGTGTCTTAACCACTAATGCTTTATGGTATTATCTACCAAAATTTTTTAAACAGATTTACATGTAAAAGCATGTCTTGGATACTGCAAAGTACAGAAACACTTTTTGAATCAAATAAGAAGGCTTTGCCAACCCTTTTCAACTCCATGACCACAGGGAACCAAAAGACCCTACAAATGAACCAAAAACACACACAAAACGTTGAGGAAAGTAAGACCTTTCCCAGGCATTCAATAGACCCAGGTTTTCCTGGCCTGAACTGGGCATTGCCACATGGTGTAGAATCAACAAAAAGCAACAGAGACGTGGCCTGGCTTGCTAATTTCTGTCTCCATCTAAGAGAAAAGAAAATAGTGTGCTTTCAAACTCAGAAATACTGTGGATACTGTAAATTAGTTTTTAATTCAAAGCCTTGGTACTCTGGATTAGTAACCAATATTAAGAACAATTAGGTCAATAATGTGTTCTTAGGGCTGGAGTGAGAGGTTTCATGAATCTGAAAATCTGTTTTCATATTTGCAAACTAAAACTGCTAGACTGATACTTTAAAGAAAGCAGAGAAAACAATAGGGGTAGGTCCTATGGCAACTGAAGAAACTAGCATCTACTCAAACCACCTAAAACAGAGCACCAGGAGTTCCAACGGTACCATCTTCAGAGTACTGGAACTAAGACAATGACAGAACTATTAGGAAAGATGACAGCAATAAATATTTAGCTTGAGTTATTCATCAGAAATTGTTTCACAATGAATGAAAAAATTAATGAACAATGTAAAAAACATTGGAAATACACAACTGATAACTGTATATAAAACAGAATTTTTCTTTACTGTGAGAACAGGAACACTTCTCATTTGAGAAGTGGGTTGCCATTGCTTTCTCCAGGGAATCTTCTGGTCCCAGGGATCAAACCCGTGTTTCCTTCTTAACCACTGAGCCACCAGGGAAGCCCTGTCTCCACATATTTACCTATTTGGAACATTTCATATAATTGCAATTACATAATATAATGTCTCTTTTCACTGGCTTCTTTTACCTATCAAAATGTTTACAAGGTACGTCCATGATGAAGAATATGTTAATACTTCATTCCATTTTATGGTCCAATAATATTCCACTGAATACCACATTTTGCTTATCCATTCAGTTGATGGACATCTGAGTTGTTTCTACTTCTGGTTTTATGCTTTTTTTTGCATGCATGGCGAGCAAACTAGATAATCTTAAAAATTCCTACAAAAACACACACTACCAAAACTATCCCAAAAAGAAAGAGAATAATTTCCTATAGCAAGTAAATAGATTTTGAATCAGTAGTCAAAAAACATTTTAAGTATAGCCACTTCGGAAAACAGTATGGAGGGTCTTCAGAAAACTACAACAAGTATTTATGTGAGAATGTGAAGAAATTAGAAACTTTATACACTGCTAGTGGGAAGAAAAAAAAAAGGTAAAACCACTGTGCAAACAACTGAGTAGTGTCCCAAAAAGTTAATTACACAATTCTCACAAGATTCAGCAATTCCACTCCTAGGTACCCAAGAAGCAGAAAATATTATGTACATGAATGCTCATAACAGCATTATTCAAATGAATAAAAAGCACAAACAAACCAAATAGCCACGAACTGATTAATGGATGAGTAAAATGTGGTATATCCACCCAAGATTATCAAGCACAGAAAGACACGAAGTACTGAATTAAACTACAACATGAATGAACTTCGAAAGCATTACGCTACAAGGAAGAAGTCAGACACAAAAGGCCACAAGAGCATGATTCCATTTATAAGAAATGTCCAGAATAGGCAACACCAGAGAGACAGAAAACAGATGAATGGTCACCAGTGCTGAGGAGAGAAACAATGGGAAGTCACTGCTTAATTGATACGGGATTTCTTCTGGGGTGAGGAAAATGTCCTGGAATTAGATAGTGGTGATGAATGTACAACATGGAGAATTTACTAGAAGCCACTGGATAATATACATTTAAAGTGAATAAAATGAAGAATTTCACATGAATTTTCTTTCAATTTAAAAAAATAACCCAAAACAACAATCTACTCAGCAACATATAAATTAAAACAACCACAAAAGTCCGTTTGGAATTCTTAGGTCTCTAGGCTCAAAACCTACATTTAAAAACAGGCATCAGATACCTCACAACTGTGATTTATTAACAGTTAGGAGACAATTTAAAAAAATTCTATCATAGAAGAAAGAGATTTAAAAAGTCATACATATTTTGAAGACCTAAGTTTGTACTGATCACTGTAGTCACTTTTAAGTGCAAGCAAACCCAGTTATTCCAGCAAGCCGACAGGAAAACACAGCCAGTGTTAACCGTGTCCTTGGGGCAGCAGGGGCTCACCCGGCTTCTCTGGCTCATCTGGTCCCGTGCCTGCAATGCAGCTGCTCTCCAGGCCATAGGTGGGATCCACCTTCCCAGAGGCTCGGGCTGCTTCTTGAACCTTCTTGACATGAGCCTCCACCAATTCCAGCGGCACCTCCTCCCGGACTCGAGAAAACTCCTCTGTGTAAGAATAAAAATGGAACAGTGATCTGGTGTCGCGTGAATATCTGCTTAAGTGTAAACTAGAAAATCTGACACAACACTAGTGTGTCGTGTGTAACCTAGTAACCTTTCTCGGGACTCAATCTGATCTATCCAAGGAAGTCAAGAAGGCCAAAGTCAACATGTACAGTGATGTAATTCCATGACTCTTATGTCTTACCTTACGTGCCACAGTCTTACTATATAAACAAGAGATTATGATCTTTAAATATCTATCAGTAATAATCAAAACTACTGTCCAAATTTCATCTAACTCTGCTGTTTGGATTTTAATCAAGAAAACAGTAAGGATGAAACAATCAGAAAGTCAAGAAAGAATACTATAGTATGAAAAAGTTCTAGTTAGAATTCATGCAACCCAAGAAAGTTAAATAACTCCTTTTGCCAATTATATCAAAATCCGTATGAATCACAAAATACCATTAAACACCACTGTTTCATCCCTCCAAATTCTCAAAAAATGCTCATAGTTTGGAAAACGTTGTATTTAACTGCTTCATTTAAAAAACATCATCTACTATCCCTAAGGGGTAGTACATAAAACTGCAATGAGTGTAACAGCCAATAACACCTAAATCTGAGATAAAACTATCATGAAAGAAAGCATGAAACCATGATCTGAAATGGCTATACTCGTGAGACAGCTTAAGAAAGTCCATACCCAAAGCCGCTTTGGCTGCAGCAGACGCCACACGAGGATCCACCACAGATGCCAAAAAAGCAACAGTGCTCATGACTGGGTTTCCTGACTGACTGAAGGGCACAGGCTGGTAGGCCAGGGGCCCCAGGGAAGCATCAGAATTCTCAAGGTATGGGTCCTCAATGGGAAGCCTCAAGAAGTGGAGGATGCATTCATCCTGAGTGCGACTTCCAACGTGCTCTGACACTTTGTTCCAATCATCTTTATACATCTCCAGAGCCTGTGAGGGGAAAAAACAGGAGCTTTAATATCAGGTAACAAGGAAGTAATACTTAATGACATCAGAAGCCTATGACTATTCTTTAGATGGGCTTTAAATTAAAAACAGTAAAGAAAACAGTTATACTGTTCATAGCAGGTAGTTCTGATTGCTTTCCTTATTATATTAAATTCTCAGTCAAGAAAAACAAATAAAAGGCATGTACATTACAAAGAATTGTGGTGCTGGAGAAGACTCCTTAAAGTCCCTTGGACTGCAGAGAGATCAAACCAGTCAATCCTAAAGGAAAAGAACCCTGAATATTCACCGGACAGATGCTGAAGCTGAAGCTCCAATACTCTGGCAACCTGATGTGACAACCAACTCACTGGAAAAGATCCTGATGCTGGGAAAGACTGAGGGCAGGAGAAGAAAGGGACGACAAAGATTCTGATGCTGGGAAAGACTGAGGGCAGGAGAAGGGGACAACAAAGAATGAGATGGTTAGGTGGCATTACCAACTCAACAGACGTGTTTGAGCAAACTCCAGGAGAGATTGTCTTGATACTTTCCAGCATAACGTTTCCAGATGAGCTTACTTTTAAGCTTTTTTCTTTGTTCATTTTCTTTGACTCAGAGAAAAGTAAGAAAGGTCAGGAAGTCTTTTTCCCAGAATATAGCTAAGGTATTGACGTGCAGAATTCAAGCCACAGTCAGCATCCAGAAAAGCACGAGGCTGAGAAACAGTGAAGTTCTGAGCCTGAGCACCGATAGAAGCATTACATAAGAGGGGTGGAATGAAGAGATGTTTTCAAAACAACATGGTGACAGACCTCCAGGAAGGAAAAGGGTGACATATAGAAAAATGTTATTAGTAGACATTTTACACTACACAACACCTTTACTCCTCCTATCATCACTGGGGTCTTCACCACTGCTTACTTGGATTCTTAGAATTGCCTGTCTCTACCCTTAAATTCATCCTTCTTCCTGTTGCTGGATGTATGACACAGCAGACTGTCTCTTGCCTGCCTAAAACTATTTCAGTTCTCACCATTATGTTACGAAATTAAGGTCAAGCACGACACGGATCTGCTAATTCTTCCACCTCACCATCATATTCTTTAATGTCCCGGGAATACCCAGATCCCACATCCTAAGTATTGTGTGTATGTACAGTTTGTTCTGTACTAGAAACATCATGGACCAGAACCAATACCAGCACCCTACTCTAGGAAGCTGTCCATTATATCTTATCTACCCAGGCTAGCTCCAGAGACACTCCTCTGTACATCTTATGCTCCAGTCACACCTCTAATCATGTTTCAATCGGTTTCTGTCACACACTACACTATGAATTACTGAACTGCAAACACTATGGGCTAGTCATCTCAATCTGTCTGCCACAGTGCCTGAAACACAGTACCAAATAAAATGTGCTGAATTTAATCACAGGTAGGCAAACTAAATTAAGAAAGGAAACTTACTTTTTCATGACTCCAAGCATTAAAAGAAAAAAGAAAAATTCTGGGGAATTCCCTGGCACTAGAGTGGTTAGGACCCTATTGCCAGGGGCAAAGGTGTGATCCCTGGTTGGGGAACTAAGATCCTGAAAGCTGAGGAGTGTAGACAAAAACAACCACCACCCCATAATTTTTAAAAAGGCCTTTCTTCAAGACAACTGGAAGCTGAAGTGTAATATAAAATTACACAGGAAGATACCTAGTAAGCAGCCTATGTGACATGCTTGCCTGATAAAATGGTATGATTTGGGGGAGGGAGGGCAGAAAACAATAAACTCGAACGAGTCTTCCAGATGTATTTATCAGGGTGAAATTGACCAAGTTTTTGGTTATAAATCGATTAAAAAATTTTCTTCTGACTTCATGTTCTTAAGCTATTAATTATCGATAAATAAATGATAAAAACAGGTGTGAATGGTCAACAATACTGTTGGGAAGGCTTTTATATTCCTCTGTTTAAGTGCAGACATCTGTTGTTTCAACAGCATGTTTAAAAGGAAAATCAACCGGTTGTAAAGTCTCCAGCTGCAGAAGAGAAAACACACTATTGTGTGGAGATCTGTGGCTTTCTGGGATATGTTCAGGGTAAACAGTAGCTCAGCCATTCTGACCTCACTCTTTATTTACTATCCACTAATCTTAACCAGTCAACCTTACGGGAAATCAACCCTGAATACTTGTTGGAAGGACTGATGCTGAAGTTGAAACTCCAATATTTTGGCCATCTGATGCGAACAGCTGACTCAATGGAAAAGTCCCCGATACTGGGAAAGATTGAGGGCAGAAGGAGAAGAGGCCATCAGAGGACCAGATGGCTGGATGGTATTACCGATTCAATGGATATGAACCTGGGCAAACTCCGGGAGATAGTGAAGGACAGGGAGGTCTGGTGTGCTGCAGCCCATGGGACTGCAAAGAGTTGTACACAAAGAAGAAAACTCTTGAGTATAAATGTGCAGCAAGGAAAAGAACTGACAGGAGAATGCTGCTTCAGGCAATACTGCACAACTGCATCTCTCCCTAGAGCCCACAGATTCTATATGAGCAATACAAAAGCACTTCCCATACATTTCTCCAAAAGGACTGAGAACTGTAAAATCAATACCCGTAAACATATATGACTAGACAAGACAGCCCTGAGTTAAAAGAAAAAGGAGTTCAGGAAAGAAGCTCTCTGCATACCAATGACACTGAAAGGACAGACAAGAACAAATGAAAACAGTGGTAAAAACACAAAAGGAACAAATCTTTTTGATTATAGACAGACACAAAGAGAGAGTGAGAAGAGAGAATAAGGAAAGTAGAAGAGGGTGGTAAAAATGAAAAAGGAAGAATTAATATACTATTAGAATTTTTCATGAACCATGACTGTTGGAACAATTCATAAAATCAAATTAGAGCAAAACTAATTTTTGTTTTTGTGACACCACCAGGCCGAAAGGATCCCAATGTGTGGTCTGGAAACTCACAGAGCACCAGACCCCTTCATAGAAACTGAGAGATCAAAATAATAACACTAGGACATTACTGTCCTGTTATGTCGACATGTGCACAATGGCACAAAAGCAATGGGGAGGTGAACCACTGTCTTAAGGGTCATTTAATTCCTCACTACCACATACTTGAAGAAACCAAATAAGCCAACCTTACTTAAACATTTCCTGGATGAAATAGTAAAAATGATTTTTATTGAATCTAATTATCTTAGCCCATGTATTTTCAATATTTGGTGTTATGAAATGCTAGGTAAACAGGAGGACTACCAATTCTTGAAGCATAACTATCTAAAGAAAAAGCACTTGTGTGATTGAGTTTCAAGTTCAAGTAGCCACTCTCTTCTCCAAGTATCACTGTCACTAGAATGAAATGCTAACACACCAGTTTTACAGACACAGATGTCTGGCAGACATTTTCTCAAAAATAAACAATGATTCTCAAAAATAGCACTCCAAGGAAAACAACTGATACTGTCTGTTGCCAACAATTAAGTGAAAAATTACAATTCTGAAAATCATGCATCTGCCATGAAAGCTTGTTCTACTCTCTAGAAGACTTCCTAATGAGATTGGTACCAATATTATCAATTTGCATTTTTTGATACTGTATAATGAACTGCATCAACATTTGGAAGATCTGCAAAAATCAGAAAACCAGTATTTTCCAACTTATCAATGAAAGACGCTATGTAATCATACATGGGTATAAGATCCATTACTAGTCCAACAGGAGAGACCAATGGATTTCACACAGCAACTAACCTTTAAGAAACTACCAGTGGTCAAGGTTTAATGTGATACTGTACAAGCATACCTTAGAGATGCTGCAGTTTCAATTCTGGACCACTGTGATGAAGTGAGGACTGCAATAAAGCAAGTCACACAGGTGTGTTGGCTTTTACAGTGCATATAAAAGTTATATTCATACTATGCTTGTAGTCTGTATGCAATAGCTTTGTCTTTAAAAAAAAAAGCATGTATCTTCATTTTAAAATACTTTGTTGCTAGTGCTTCCTCCATAGCTCAGTGGTAAACAATCCGCCTGCCAATGCAGGAGACACGGATTAGATCCCTTGTCTGGGAAGGTCCCACATGCCAAGTAGCAACAGAGTGCATGCACCGCAACTATTAAGCCTGTGCTCTAGAGCCTGAGAGCTGCAACTACTGAAGCCCTAGCAACCTAGAGACCATGCTCCACAACAAGAGAACCCACTGGAATGAGAAGCTCAAACACTGTGATGAAGCGTAGCCCCCACTTGCTGCAACTAGAGAAAAGCTCCCACGGCAATAATGACCCAGAACAGACATAAATAAATTAATTTTAAAAATACTTTGCTACTAAAAAATGCTAACTATCACCTGAAAGTAAAAGTTGCTCAGTAATGTCCGACTCTTTGCGACCCCATGAACTATAGAGTCCATGGAATTCTCCAGGCCAAAACACTGGAGTAGATAAATAGCCTCACTCCAGGGTATCTTCCCAACCCAGGGATCAAACCCAGCAGGCGGATTCTTTACCAGCTGAGGCACAGGGGAAGCCCAAGAATACTGGAGTGGGTAGCCTTATCCCTTCTCCAGAGCATCTTCCCAACCCGGGAATCAAATCTGGGTCTCCTGCAATGCAGGCGGATTCTTCACCAGCTGAGCTATCAGGGAAGCCCATAACCATCATCTGAGCCTTCAGTGAGTGATCTTTTTGAAATAGTAACATCTAAGATCACAGATCACTGTAAACAAATATAATTAACAATAAAAAGTTTAAAACATTCTGAGAATTATCAAAATGTGACACAGACACAGGTGAACAAATACTGTTGGAAAAATGGCACCAACAGACTTGCTTAATGCCTTCAGTATGTTTTTTTTAAAAAGCGGGGGGCATCAGATTGGGAGAAAATAATAGCAAATGAAACAACAGACAAAGGATTAATCTCAAAAATATACAAGCAACTCCTCCAGCTCAACTCCAGAAAAATAAATGACCCAATCCAAAAATGGGCCAAAGAACTAAACAGACATTTCTCCAAGGAAGACATACAGATGGCTAACAAACACATGAAAAGATGCTCAACATCACTCATTATCAGAGAAATGCAAATCAAAACCACAATGAGGTACCATTACACGCCAGTCAGGATGGCTGCTATCCAAAAGTCTACAAGCAATAAATGCTGGAGAGGGTGTGGAGAAAAGGGAACCCTCTTACACTGTTGGTGGGAATGCAAACTAGTACAGCCACTATGGAAAACAGTGTGGAGATTTCTTAAAAAGCTGGAAATAGAACTGCCATATGACCCAGCAATCCCACTTCTGGGCATACACACCGAGGAAACCAGATCTGAAAGAGACACGTGCACCCCAATGTTCATCGCAGCACTGTTTATAATAGCCAGGACATGGAAGCAACCTAGATGCCCATCAGCAGACGAATGGATGAGGAAGCTGTGGTACATATACACCATGGAATATTACTCAGCCATTAAAAAGAATTCATTTGAATCAGTTCTAATGAGATGGATGAAACTGGAGCCCATTATACAGAGTGAAGTAAGCCAGAAAGATAAAGACCATTACAGTATACTAACACATATATATGGAATTTAGAAAGATGGTAACGATAACCCTATATGCAAAACAGAAAAAGAGACTCAGATGTATAGAACAGACTTGTGGACTCTGGGAGAAGGCGAGGGTGGGATGTTTCAAGAGAACAGCATTGAAACATGTATATTATCTAGGGTGAAACAGATCACCAGCCCAGGTTGGGTGCATGAGACAAGTGCTCGGGCCTGGTGCACTGGGAAGACCCAGAGGGATCGGGTGGAGAGGGAGGTGGGAGGGGGGACCGGGATGGGGAATACATGTAAATCCATGGCTAATTCATTTCAATGTATGACAAAAACTACTGTAATGATGTAAAGTAATTAGCTTCCAACTAATAAAAATAAATGGGAAAAAAATAAATAAATAAAAAATAAAAAGCGGGGGGCAGGGGGCAGGGCAGATGCCTGTATCAAAGAATATAACTAATTATCTGAAAAGGCCATTAAGATATTTCTCCTGCTTCTAACTACATATCCAGGTGGTAACAGACTTGCCTAATAAACTAAATACACCTAATGGACAAGCAAATTATGAAAATCCAGGGCCATTTAGTCAAATCTATGGTTTTTCCAGTAGTCATGTATGGATGTGAGAGCTGGACCATAAAGAAAGCTGAGCACTGAAGAATTGATGCTTTTGAACTATGGTGTTGGAGAAGACTCTTGAGAATCCCTTGGACTGCAAGGAGATCCAACCAGCCCATCCTAAACGAGATCAGTCCTGGGTGTTCATTGGAAGGACTGATGTTAAAGCTGAAACTCCAATACTTTGGCCACCTGATACAAAGAGCTGACTCATCTGAAAAGACCCTGATGCTGGGAAAGATTGAGGGCAGGAGGAGAAGGGGATGACAGAGGATGAGATGACTGGATGGAATCACCGACTCAACGCACATGAGTTTGGGTAAACTCCAGGAGTTGGTGATGGACAGGGAGGCCTGGCGTGCTGCGGTTCACGGGGTTGCAAAGAGACACAACTGAGCAACTGAACTGAAGACAAACAGTTCTCCTCTGAAAATGGTTGATAAATATGAAACCAAAAATTCTCTTTTTCCTATCCTTCAGAGTACAATTAAGTGATCCGCAAGAATCTCCAACGACATAAGGAAACTGAAAAAAGCAGCGTGCTGATGGACAGAGATACTGTGTATAATCACAAATTCATCACAGAGTCTTCACCTTTCATTCACAAGGTAATTTTTTCAATGGCAGGTATTTTCAGCCACTTTTCTGAAATTCTTTTGGGAGATACGGAGGTTGCATGCTCAAATGCATAGAAACACTAGGGAACTAATCTACAATGATTGACACGGTCTAAGTTAAGAAAAAGTGGATATGAAGAAATTCCCCAACTCAAAAAAACATCTGCTGGCCAAGGAGATAATTATTGCTGTGTGAGAACAAAGGTCCAGAGTTGCTAGATCTTCTAATTATGGAGGAAGAGTTAGAAATCTAGACTACCTTGGCAAAGTTCCAATATTTGTTGGTAACAGATTTAAAATAAAAAAACTCAACCCGAGCCAAAATAACACATATCCAAGCTTGATGTCCCCTACTGACGACCAGCATGCTGTTACCTCTAGTGTGATACACAAACTTTAACAGCCCAAGAACATTCTAGTAAAACTCACTGCATGGACTTAATATTTTTAGGATAAATTTCAAAGGTATATTTAAAATGCTAGGCACAGAAACTTAGCACCCATCTCATAAGAATAAAGGGGCTCCAACCATTAATGTGCTTACCTCCAGGAGTAGAAGGGTCTCCTGTTCTGTCCATTCTCTTCCAGCACTAGCACCTTTACTCTAAAGAAAAAAATTCAGAAACTATTTAACTCATTCCTAAAGGCTGAATATAGAGCTCATCAGAGCTCCTAAGTTCTGGGGACTGTTTTCTACAAACCACCAAAATAAGTCCCTGAATAACAGGAATAAAACATGTAAGGAACTTAAACTCCCAAGAGAAAGACTGTTTTATTTCAAAGATTTCTTGCTGTCTATCAAGAACTCATGACTACTTAGACATGGATCACTTACACTACTTATTTCTACTACTTTGGTATTTAAAAACACCTTTTTAATCTACAACAGCATAGCATGTTAATGCATACTATGGATGCACTATAATATTAAAACATAAAACAAATGTTTGGTATACATTGAAGGCTGTACTTTATCCAAGATTTTAAGAACAAACTACTACACATAAGGCACTCTGGCAGATACTTGACTCTAATTGCAACAGGTTCATATTACCTCATATTTAACATCTCTTGATTAATAAAATCTTCAAGTGACTCCCTAAACTCCAAATCACTTTTTTCATGAGAATCTTTGGTAACTTACAAGTGAGCCTGTGTCCTCTTGACTAATACCTTTATCATTAAGAGATGCCTCTATTTAATTCTGGTAAAACAACTTGTTTTGATGTCTACGTTTACAAATATTAATATAGTCATTTTGACTTTCGTCTTTCCCATTCATTTTCATTTAGTCTGTGTCTTTATATTTTGAGTGTCTCAGACAATGTATGTTCTCGATTTTTCATCTAATTTGATAATCTCTGCTGCTCAATCAAAACATTAAAACCATCAATGTGAAATTCAATATAACTGTTCTTATGGTCTTTATTCCTTCCTAGCCATCATATGCTTCCACTTGGAATCACTACCCTTCAACGTAAAAGAATTCCCTTCAGCTTTCCTACACCTTGCACTAGTTCCACCTTTTGAATGTCTGTGAAAGTCTTTACTATACTTTCAATTTTGAAAGGTATTTCTATTGAATACAGAATTTCAGAGTGACAGTTTCCCTTTCAGCATTTAAAAATATTTTTACATTGTCCTCTGGCTCCTATCATTTTTGCTGAAAAGGCAGACATCAGTTTTATCATTTTGCCATTGACTTTAATGTGCCCACCTCCACCCCCACTCTCCTTGGTTGATTTAGTACATCAACTTTAAGAGTTTTAACATCAAATGCCCAAGTATGCTTTTCTCTGTATTCAATCTCTCTTATTCTGGGCATTGTTATTTTTTCATTAGTTATGGAAAACTTTTAACTCTTACACTTTCAAATATCAGTTCTGTGCCATTATCTCTCCCTTTATGGGTCTCTATTAATGATAAATAAGTCTTTCTTCTGACTGCATCTCATGGGTCTCTTGCATTCTTTTCTCTTTGACCTGTCCCCTCAACTTCAACCATATTTTTTTCCCTTGGTGTTTCAATGTATCTGTCCTGTCTTTGGCTATGTCCAGTCTTCTGTTATACCCATCCAGCGGGTTAATTTCAGGTATAGTTTTTAACTGTTCAATAGGTATTTGATTCTTTTTAAATATTCACCTTCTCTGTTGAAATTCTCCATTTTCTCCTCATTTTAACATATTAATCAAAGTTATTTTTATATACCTATCTTCTAACCACACCATATAATGACTTCTATAAAATGCCATCAGATTTATGAAGAAAGCTCACCTCCTTACCCTACGAAAAGTAAATCAAGTTTCTTACAAAATATGCTGCTTCTTAGAAGTAAAAAGGACAAACAAGATATGCTAGATTGTAGTCCATATGATCCTATCAAAAAATCCTTACCTTTGCTAAGGTTTTCTTGGAGTAGATGTCAGTACGAAGACCAAAGTTCTGCAAATCAATTGGTTTTTCCTTGTTCTTCTCGGGAAAATTTAACATTTGCTGAGCAGCAGGAATCTATGAGTCAAATAAACGATAAGTGGCTGTATTAACCTCTACAAAGTCAAGGGGACAGAAGTTTTTAAGGCTGTTTAATACTGGCACTTAAATGACTCCTGGTGGAGATTCTACAAAACAAACAAACAACCTTACGCTAAACTAACAAAATTTCAACATATAAGAAACTTTTTTTTGCCTCTCTTAAGTTACAGAGACAACAGACAAATTTTCTTTAATGTTTCACAGTGGGAGCAATTTATAGGTTTCCTTTGTGTTATTCCAACAGAATGATACACATAATCCAATTGACATAATCGTTTCAAGAACGTGTGCATGGATGTCCACTTTCCAAATGTTAAGGGAAGGGAAGAAGTTCTAAACAATTTAAACAGTCTGCTTCTTGATTACTGTCTTTGACGGCAGAGGTGATAAAGGAGTCATGAATTATTAAAGTAAATCTGTAACAAGATAAAGCACAGACTCTTGGGATTAAGGAGAGAGCATTATCTTAAAACATAAAACATTCTTATGGACTCAAACATTTACAACAGATAAAAACAAACACATCCTACCAGCTAAGAGACAGCACAATTATATAACAGTAATTCTTGAACACAAGTAATAGAAATGGTTGTCTGTTATTACCTAGACCTGAAGAATGAAAACTGAAACTTAATCACTCAGTCATGTCTAACTCTTTGCAACCCCATGGATTTTGGCCCACTAGGCTCCTCTGTCCATGAGATTCTTCAGGCCAGAATACTAGAGTGGGTTGCCATTTCCTTCTCCAGGAGATCTTCCAGACCCAGGGATCAAACCCTGGTCTCCTGGAATGCAGGCAGATTCTTTACCATCTGAACCACCAGACCTGAAGAGTAAGTGGTATTAATTTACCTGAGGTGATCGAAGATGCAGAGGAACAAGCCCCGAGGGGGTATCAGCTAACACATTGAAATGAGGAGTTGGAGGAGGCCCCATTGCCATGGGTCGACTTTCTGGATCCACTTGGTAATTAACAAGCCCCCACTGCTCTAAGAAGGCATGAACCCTGAAGGATAAATGTCTGAAAGTTAAAATCTAGAGAATGTACCTCATCATCTTCATAACCATCATCACATTTCATTAAAAAAAAAAAAAACAAAAACAAGTAAACACGCTCTTTTGCAGGTTATGAACCTTCACAAAGTAACTGACAGTTTTGGTTTGAGGGACAGTCTCTACAAACTCAAAATGTTAATAATATAGCACCTCCAAACCAAGTAGAAAGCCTAATCATTTCAACCACAAAAATGAGAACAAATGCCTGTGTAGGTCCAATGTGAAGGAATTCACACATAAACCAAACTCACAAATGGAAATCTACTTTTTCTTTTCTTTAGACAGATTTAGGGCACAGAGCTTATTCACTCTCCACCTTAGCCCACTCTCTATCTATGGTCAGTTTATGATTAAAAGATGTAAAATGTGAATTTTTTTAAAAAAATGACACTTTAGGTATTTTACTAACCAAGAAAACATCAAATTTAATCAGCCTAACATTAGCAAAGTACCAGTAACCATCTGCAGTGAAATATCTGAGAAAAAGTCCAGACATTTTTACCTCATCACAGCACACACATCTCCAGTTAAGTTCCTCCGACAAGCAGTGCTGGTTAAATATTCTTGGGGATTTAGGCGGTATGTGTCAATCATAAAATTTCGATATGCCAAGTATCTAAAAAGTAATGTCCAAATTCGTAAGGTGAACACACATCCTTTCAAAAACAGTAACTCAGAGAGCATAGTTTCACATTCCTCTAGCAAATACATCAAAAAATTAAGACAACAGGCCAATAAATCAGAGTGATATTGTACTGACTATTAACAGTCATGCATGCAACTCAGGGTAAGAATCCCTAAAACACAGAACAACTGTCTGCTAACATGTAACAATAATAAGTACAAGAGAGTAATGTGATGAAGTTAATGTGAAGTAAAACAAGCATAACCTTGGTCACAGAGGTGAACCAATAAATCCTTAGCTGTCTGCAAAATTTGCAAATAACACCTGGTTACTCAGGCTGTCTCTAACTACACTATTCTATACCTAGAATTTTACTGTGTGCCAGCCTTAGGTCTAAGAACCTTCTGTGTGGTAACACATATAATCCTCACAATCTCTCTATAAGGTAGGATCTATTGTTATTCCAATTATAGATGAGGATTAAAGAATATGTCCCCAGACCACAAGGCTAGTAAGTGGAGCTAGAATTCAGCAGTGTGGGGACTCTGACATTAGCAAAGATTAACTAAGAAGAGTGCTTTAAGAAGCCACTGCCAAACACATCCAAATAGTCAGGTTTTCTAAAGACAGTATCAGCATCACATCTTTACATTTCACTCACATCTCTGGAGTCTTGGATTTGTTTTTTCCATTGAAAAACTCAGGAAGAGCACGTCGCTCAATCACATGAATACTGAAGAGAAAAGAAAGAGAAACAATTAAGAGCTCTCTTAGAAAAGCAAAATCCTGAAATTTGAGTTAAGCCTGTTTAATTTTCAAAGTAAAAATGGATGAAACTGAAAACTGAGCACTACTTGCAAAATTTAATTGGCCTGCACAAGTTCCTATGTATTAACAGTATGTAATAATAAAACTACAGAAAATATAATATATACTAAAAAGTTACATGAACTATAAAGTTAAAAAAAGATTTCCCTTTCTAACGTCTAATACTTAAACTACAGTCTTTCTATTCACATCTGCTAAGTCACTTCAGTCGTGTCCGACTCTGTGCGACCCCATAGATGGTAGCCCACCAGGCTTCCCTGTCCCTGGGATTCTCCAGGCAAGAACACTGGAGTGGGTTGCCATTTCCTTCTCCAACTCGTGAGAGTGAAAAGTGAAAGTGAAGTCGCTCAGTCGTGTCCGACTCTTAGCGACCCCATGGATTGCAGCCCACCAGGCTCCTCCATCCCTGGGATTCTCCAGGCAAGAGTACTGGAGTGGGTGCCATTGCCTTCTCCGTTCCATTCACAGAACCAAACTCAAAAAGTTCTATCGACACATTGAAGGCTTTAGATTTTATGGAATTGTCCTAACATACCATAACTAGATGAAGAGCCAGAAGATACGAGAAGTTCTTTGGAAATTGTAGGACAAAAATCACAGTAACTGGTATGGCAACAAAATTGGTGAAATGAATAACCAAAAGACAGTGGAACTGACAATGATTAGTTTCTCAGATTCAACATTAATGCACATTTTTGACCAGTCCTCAGAAACTTTGAAGTGAACTTAATTTTTTAATATAGTGACTTACTGCTTTTAAAAAGATCACAGCACTAATTTTTAACATTTAAATAAAAGCATTGATAATTTTATAAAATGTTACAGGTGATAAGCACTGTAGAAACCATGTAAAATCAATCAGGCCCAAAACATTCTACAAATGAACCAACTGTACATCTAGCACAAAAGTTTAGACATTAATGGTGGCTCAGTGGTAAAGAACCCGCCTGTCAACGCAGGAAACTCAGATTTATTCCCTGGGTTAGGAAGAACCCCTAGAGGAGGAAATGGCAACCCACTCCATTATTCTTGCCTAGAGAAATTCCATGGACTAAGTAGCCTGGTAGGTTACAGTTCATAGGACTGCAAAGAGTCGGACAAGACTACTCATGCACCAACGTTTTTCCAGATGACACATTTTAGTTTCTCAGTGGCTTTCCATGTACAGAAATTGCATGGGAAAAAGCAAATCAAGTCTGTGAATACAAATAAAAGCATTCACTCTTTATTTGGTAGCATTTGAATTATTTGAAATGAATATACCAAATACTATAAATAAAATGAATCACCTGGAAATGTCAAGGAAGATAATTTCTAAGATCAAATATGTTCCACAGATCTATGTATAATGAATTTCCAGGTTTTACTATAAAAAGAGTAACTGGAAGTATTACAAACTGGTTCTAATATACTCATGTTATGTTACAGGTTAGGAAGAAGCCAAAAAAACAATTTCACCAAGAACAAAACACCTAAGAGTATATTATCACAAGCACTTTCTTTTTCAAAATCTATGTCTGAAGTACTGGCAGCCAATTCCTTAGGTTTTGTGAATGAGTCAAGTAGTGGAAGGAGTGGTATCCAAAATCTGAAAGCCTGAGTTCTTCCAATGATCAACCTACAACTGAAACACTTCAACTGAGACAGCAGTTAGTTCATCTATAAGCAGGGATATAACTAATACCTCTACTGTCCATCTAACAGCACATTTTGTGACGTGTAAATATAAGTGTTTCTGGAACCTACAAAAACATACAAAGTTAAATACTGTTATGACTTTCTCCTTTTTTTGAGAGGAAAATGCTAGTTTCTCAAGCCACTCTGAATCTTTTTAATTACCAATAATGTAACTTCCAAATTTAAAACTCATTTAACATCATAATGAAAGTAATGAAGACTGACCTTCAGAGTAGAGCTATTTATTTATTGTTTCAGCTTCCACTTATTCATAACATTGAGGAACAGCATGCAGAGTTAAGTTTTAAAAAGTATGCTGAAAAGTCTCAAGAGTAGAGACCATACCTTCTGGTTTGGGGGAAAAAAAGAAGGTATGACTCAAGTGGACCATCCACCCTATTCTTTTAAGGTGTTCTTATAGATATGTATATGTGTGTGTGTGTGAATATACGTATACACATACACACACACACATATATGTATATAAGGATATACAGGCACATATATCCTTAAAAATAACACAAAAATCATTGAAAGCAGGCAAAATATCCAAACAGGACCATAACATTCAGAGTGAGGGTGGCATCACTAGACTAAGTATACAGTCTTCCAATAAAAGGACCTTAAAGAAACTAACATCTATTTAGAGTTCTGGTACGTTTATTTAAAAATAAAAAACTGTCAAACAAAAATCAGCCTGATGTGAAATAGTTGCACTTCAAAAGTAATCAGGAAGTAAGATATCTAGGTCTGCATTTATTTCCATCCACGTTCCAAGGATGCCTCAATGGTTGTAGTAAATGACAAGGAGGATGCTGAAATGGGTGCTTTCTTGAATTCTTTTACTTGCCAGGGTTTATATGCGAAAGAGCTCCTGTTTCCCGTTAACATAAAGCCATGACTGGGTAGTCAGAAGAGTTTTACTTTATGTATTTCCATAACATTTAAAAATCAAAAAATAAAAAATAAAAAAAATTTTAAATCACAGGGCTTCCCTGGTGGCTCAGTATAAAGGATCCACCTGCCAATGCAGAAGATGGGCGCTGGATCCCTGGTCCAGGAAGATCTCACATGCCACAGAGCAATTAAGCCCATGAGCCACAACTCCTGAGCCTGCACTCTACTGTTTAGAGTCTGGTAAGAACATCTACTGATCCTGTGTGCCACAAGTACTGAAGCTCGTGCACCCTAGAGCCCATGTTCCACCACAAGAGAAGCCACTGCAAAGAAGCCTGCACCCCACAACCAGATAGCGGCCCATGCTCATTGCAACTAGAGAAGAGCCTGCATGGCAGTGAAGAAGCAACACAGCCAAAATTACATACACAAAGTTATTTTTTAAAAATCTGTTTAAAAATCATATCATAAACATCAGTATTTTATAATAATTAAATACTCAAGCATTTGTCTGTCTGAACTAAAACTGACACCAAATGAGTTAGGCTTAAGTTTATAAAATTTTATAGCCCTAAGTTATAACATAATCCAGTTTCTATACCGAAGTAAAACAACTGAAAGAACACATTCCAAAGTTAAAATAACTTTCCATCCTCCATCATCTAGCGTGACAGGGATTACCAATGAGAGGACTTGGGCAGAAGAGCACATTATTGTTTAAAGCAAAGTGTCCCCACTCCTAAGTGCCATGTTCACAAACATAAGCACCCACTCACCAGTTATAATCAAACCACGATGCATAGCTAGGAATAATAATGTGATTGGTCTGCTCAGTCACATTATCTTCACCAGGGTCAACCGATCTACTCTGATCACCTTTGCCAGGATCTTCATCTTCCTACAGAAAAGAAGCCAAAGTTTAGAGAGATAAGGAATAGCTTTCAAACTTCTGACGGCAGCTTACAGAAAATGCAGCTAGCCGACCCAATTTCAAGGACCAGGAAAACAAATGTCAACGAAAAACAGCTTTTCAGTTTTTAAAGGTACCTTCACAAGATGTCCAGATGAGAAAGCAGATTTTACTCCTCCTTTTTAACAGATCAGGGAATCAACTCAAAGAAGGCCCGAAACTTTTCCCACAGTAGCCTGCAACTTATTTGTCTAGTTTTCCCTAATCCTAGGATCAGAAATCTAAATGACTAGTTCTCAGTTTTTAAGGAGGTTAGCTCAATGACACTAGTAAGGCATAATGATAAAGTTTCTCCAATTTCAAAGACTGAGTATTAAATATCCACCAACAGCGATATGTGCATTACCTCACTTACTCCTCACAGTGACAGCAGGTACTATTTATCATCTCTTCTGTGGATAAGAAAATGATGTACAGAGCTAATATGACATAAACAGGACAAAATTTCAGGAAATCCAGCTACAGGGCCAACACTGTTAACCGTTCTCACTGCTGGAAATTAGCTGACTTATCATATTTATGGAGGTTTTACAAACGAATTCACCTAAAAACATGGCTTTGCTAATAGTAATTGCAAATACCACTGCAATAGATCACAACAAAAGAATATTTTTATGCTACAATAATCACTTTTAAATAATATCATTTAACACACAGTTCATACTCAAATGGATCCAAGTGTCCCAGAAATGTCTATTACAGATTTTTCTCCCCACACCAGAACCTGATCACGGAGTCCATATACACCTCTTTAGTCTTCTTTAACCTCTGCCTCCTTTTGCAAGGAGGAGGACTTTTACAATGGCTTGTAGAGTATCTTCCAATCTCTATTTAACTCAATGATTCCTCATAATTAACTTCACATTAAACACTTTTATCAAGATACTATAGGAAATAAATTTTTTGACACTAAGGTGTTTTCAAATTGTATAGGGTTTTTTCTATTAACCTTTTATCTGTGGTGTTTTTACTGTTTTAACCTTATGAAATTATTTTAAGAAAGCAGTCAAGTTTTAAATCATATTCTTTTATAATGGTTCCAAAGTTTAATTTCTACATTTAAGTTAATTCAACCTGTATTTCCTGGTAAGGATCTAGTTAGTGCTAGAAACTTAAGACAATAGTTTCCTTAAGATCAATGAATATAAAAGAAAACTTAAAGTATGAAAACACTAAGGAAACTGGTTGTTATTTAAATAATGTTAAAGCAAATGTGTTAATACTGATTACAAAGGTAAGAAATTTTATTTCCCAAACCAGGGAAGCTAGTGAAAACTATGCTTATGATTAAGTTGCTTTTGTGTTGTAGGTTTTACAAATTCACTGTGATTCAATTTAGAAAATTTTCTGGAGGAAAAGCAGGGAGAGGCTGGCACTGAGATGAATAAAAGCTGACAGTCTATGGAGTTTAATCATCTCAACGAGGAAAAAAGCAGATGACATTGTGGGACCAGTAACTGGAGTAACCGCCTCTAACTGTCTTAGCTTTAAGTTATACAAAAAACTTGTCCACAGTTTCAAAATTACTCTCATTCTTGATGTTAAAAAATTGGTAAATTCTTTGGCTTGTATTTTGCTCTCTTTTACTGCCACACAATACTATATACTCTAAATGACCACATCTTCTCACAAGCATAATATTCATCAATCAGTAAGTTTGTAAGTTGATGAATACAGAATACTTCTCAGAATACAGAAGTTTGATTTCCAAGACAAAATATAAGACCGATTCAGTTAAAAAGCCATCTACACAAGAGTTTCTCGAAATACTTTTCCTTGAAATCCTGTCATGAATATTTTCATTTCATGAAAGCATAAAAAACAGTAAATGTCACTATGGAGAAATTCTCTGACTCATTGAAAAAGCAAAAACAGAACTATTCAGTTTCAGCATTAAGGAAGTTATTTCAAGGAGATTAAGGATTAGTTACACATCTTAACAAAGAGATTACAGCCTGAATAAATAGTGGGGCCATTTATGCAAACCCTGCCTGAAATCCAACATCATCCAAGAGCTTAATTATTCTTGTCTTCAGAACAGAACTGATGTAACATGAAGTAACTGTAAAACTCAAAAGAGGGGACGAGTATGATCAAAAGCTTCATCAGCCGTGGCCTGGGGCTGCACTGACAGAAAAGGGAGTGAGAAAATCAAAGCGAGGCGCTGTCCCTGCTCACCTGGAACTCTGTGCAGCTGGTTATTCACTCAAAACCAGCAGAGAAATGGAACCAGAAACCACAGTACATGAGAAATGCTTACCTGGGAGAATGGCAATGTCCTCTTGCTAACATCGTAGCGGGTCAAGAAAGATAAACTTTTTGGTGAGGGAGGGGTTGTTAAACAGAAATTTAAAAAATCAAAAGGATCTCAGAATATTTCTAAGGACACTTGCAGTTCAGTATTTCTACTGCTGAACACACAGCACCCTTAGGAGTTACCACTGCACCAGGCTTAACTAAATAAATCATTACCTTTCCTCCTGTTGTGACTGTTTCTTCATCCTGCTCATCTGCAAAATCAAACATAGAATTGATTTAACAGGTAAATGCTCTTTGAATTACTTGGAAACTTTAAGGTTTAAGGAAACGATACTGGACAGAGACAAGGCAAAAAGGAGAGCATTATTAAAGCAAATTAACCGTGAATAATTCAGTAAATGAGATCTGTACACAGGAGCATAGAGGTAAGTAAAAATTCAAAGCACAAATCATTAAAGATTTCCAACAATAGGGAATTTATAATTAATTACTGCTTGGCCTACAATCTTAGTCACGATCTTACTTAATAACAGGTAAGGGACTTGATTAGGGCTCTGGCCTCCTGAGGTTTAGTGAAACAAAGTAATGACATTTTGGCTCCCAGAGGAAATGAGTAAAGAATGAGGAGTAAAGATGGAGGTGATAATCAATCCCTATGGACAAAGTTCTGGTAAGAATGTTTATATACCTTCTGAGGATAGGGACTCCAGGACCTAAATGCTAGCCTTGCAAAAGAACAGAGGCAAGTCCAGGTATAATTTAAATAGCTGACTTCCATAGCAGAAAGGCAGGTAACTTTCCACAGCGGAAAGGGTAAGAGGTTATAGCACAAATAATTACATTACTAACTTCCTGTAATATTTTTAATATAATTATTCTGACTCTTGGCAGTGATGAAGCACTGTAAAGCTGAAGGAGAATACAAGGAAGCCATCTTTTCAGTATTTTGCCATTATTCATTCAACAAATATTTCTAAGAATCTGCTACTTTAAAAGCACTAAATAAACTGCTCAGACTAGGGGTCAGGATCTCTAGCCCACAGGCTAAATCTGGCCCACTGCTTGTTTCTGTAGGGAATCTGGGAAAGTGACTTGGTGTGTTCCTAACCGACAGTTAACCAACAGGAAGGGTGGTGCACTGTGCCTAGACCGTGGCACAACACAGCTTGTGATAAATTTCTGCAGCCTGAAATTTTGGTGTTAGGCAGAGGGTACTCTACATGACCAATAAAAACACTGATCTTGGCCTCTCAAAGGGGCTTCTGGAGCTGGAAACACTGCATGCGTGCAGCCTCAGTAAGAGTGCACTCTGTGCGACCCCTCGGGTGAGCGAGCGCGCGGGAGGAAGCCTGCACACAGACTCGGCCTGCATCATCTTCCCTGACGATCTGCTCATGCTGCCTATGTCGCTCTGATATATGTCAGCTGCGGGTACAACGAAATGCTGAGTTCCACCAGTCCTTCCAGACAATCTCCAAACCTGGGCATGGTCTTGCGGATTCCAATCTCACCTTGAAGTGAAGAGTGATTTTTACATTGCTCAAAGATGAATACAAAAAATTAACTGAAATTCAAATTCAGTGTCCATAAATAAAAGTTTTATTGGAATAAACCATGATTATTTGTTTATATATTATGGATGGCTGCATCTGCATTATAATGCAAACTTGACTAGTTGTACCAAAAACCTTATAGCCCAAAATGCCTAAAATATTTACTATCTGGCCCTTTTTAGAAAAAAAGTTTGCCAACCCCTACTCTAGAGAATATAAATATATCCTTTAGACAATATAAATATAGTATTTTAACAGGTAATAAGGAACTAGCATTCCAACATTTAACTTAATTTTATGTATTATCTACTTTGCACCAGTCACTGTCCAAATGCTAAAGACACAATGATGAACAAGAAAAAGCCCCTGTATTTATGGAGCTTACATTCCAGTTATGAGTGGCAGGAGACTGAAAAGAAAATAAGATATCGAATGCTGACAACTGCTATACGGAAAATAAAAACAATGTATTTCAGAGAGGAATTGAGTGGGTAGATCTTTCAGAGCCTACATACAGGGAAGCCTCTCTGAAAAGGTGACATTTAAGCTAAAACTTGAGAGAAGGACAAAGCAAGCATTTCACAGAGAGAAAGAAGCCAAATCAAAGGGCCTCAGGTGGGGATGTACCTGATGACTTCACAAAACTGAAAGACCACTGTTGAGCATGAGAGAAGCTGAAAGAAATGAGCAGAGTGCAATGAGACAAAGCACTGCACCACCGACAGACCTGGGTCTGCATCTGTGCTCTCTCTCTTAGTAGCTGTAAGCTCAGCAATGTTCCTGAACCCCAGAAGTCTTCACTTCCTAATCAGTAAATTGGGGCTAACATGGTTTTATGCAAAAATGCAAACATATATAGAATGACACCTGACATGTACTCATGTAACATAAAGATGGATACTGTTCTTGATTTTTAAGTTAGAAACAAACAGCCACAAAGAGGTAAGTGTGGTAAGTTACAGTATTACCAACATTAGTCCTCCTACTCTGCACAGGGACTATTTTTTCCGAGGAAGTGACTAACAGAAAGAAATCTGGGTAAAGCTGTCAAAAATGAACTTCTGTCCTTTGGGTCATAGTAAACCAAAGGATAATCAACTTCTCACTAGATGCTGGTAGTACAATAATCAAATTATACTATTTCATTTTAGTTTAACAGATTTCATCCTTGAGGGAGTCTTGGTACCCAATGGAAAAACACTTCTGATAACACAATATACTGATTCCTAGATGATTCCTCCTGCCAGGTATGGGCAAATGCACTCTCATCTCAGCCCCTGGATACTGACCTTTCAGAGATCTCAAGTAAGAAATGACTGGGTATACTTAGCTTGGTAGCATATAAGGCAAAATATGGATCAGTTAAAACAATGAACAACTCTGAACAATAATTCCCAGTTGATGGATCAGTCAGGTTATAGCCAATGCAGAAAGTCAAATGCTTAAATGATCTTTGGGAAGCCTGTTGGTCCGTGGATGAAAAGTCAGGACAAAAACTTCAGATTCCAAAGAATCAAACCCTTCAGTTATGGTCAGCAGCATCTGCAAGCACAGCTCTCCTGACTGAGACCTCAACCTGCTCACTAACACAAAGGGAAGATCTCCTAAACCTACCACTAAAACTCTTTATCCAGTCAGGACCCCATTCTTTCCCTAATCATGGCTTCAATTTGACTCCTCTTATAAAGTCTACTACAAAAATACTACAACAGACACCTCACTTTTAAAACAACAATTGTCTACTCCCTTAAAACTATAGAATAATTCTTTTTTTGTGATTTAACTTAAAATATAAAATAGCATTCTGTTTAGCAAACTGTCCCAGTGAAGATTATTCAAGTCTTAAGAATATTTTACACTGCTACAGCACTGAAAATATAGAACAAAATACTGTATATCATTAGCTTTTGTATTCTTGGCCTTTCAGTCAGTGGGTAAGTGATGGTTATAAAACAGACAATATAAACTTATAGACAATGAAAATTATTACTAGCTATTTAAAATCTATATTCTGTTACTAATGTTAAAAAGTTATGAAAGAAGCATTTTGATAGTAACTTTATTTTGTTGACCTAATAGCACCTCTCCATAAACTGTCATCAAGACAATTTTCTGCTTTACTTTCAACATAATCAAAGCCAGAATCATCCATTGATGTCCAATGAGAGGCTTGAAGCCAGAAAAAGCAGGATGTATTTAGTGAAATGAAGTAGAAAAACGCTCCCAAACACCCACTCATGTCTGCCATCAAGAATCACAGCAATTAATTTGAAATACACAATTCATCTGACTAGGAGATAGTAAAGCCAAAACTCTTTTTCCACATAAGATCTTGGATATCCCCATTAGGGCTAAAATCCCATCAATTCATAAATTTAATATATACTGAAAATACCAGGATCCCCTTTGACTTTCACAAATGAACAAAGTAATCAAGATCATTACTTCATACATAACTTTTATGAAAAAAGATGTTTCAAACTATTTTTAAAAACTGGAACAAATGACTACACTCTTTTCTACCCTCACAGCACATCTAAGAGTTAGACGTTACTTGTGAAAATGTACTCGATAACCTGAAAATACAATAGAAGGATAATGTGACTCTCATTTTATCCTGTTAAGGAAACTTTCTGTTGGCTTACACAGTATTAACAGTCAACAGATTTTTCTTCTGAAGACATAATCAATTTGCACATATCATGAAACAAGTATTTCAAGGCAGATTATAAAAAGTCCTTTAAAAAAAAAAGTGCTTTAACTACACCTGTTTCTTTAAAACTCAGATATTATGATTTAGGTATCATACTACCACTTTTGCTGGTTTGCAGGAAAACATGCTGAGAAAAAGAAATACGTAAGAATGCAAAGAATGGACCATAAGAAATTAAATTTCCTAATACAGCAGAAAACTAAACAACAGTGGTACTAACACAGACATAGTAAGTATCTGTGCTGGAAAGCACAGCAACCAGAAGTGACACTTCTCAGTGAAGAAAGGATTCTCAAAGGAGCTGACGTATCTAAGACAAAACAACACGAAACTACAGATTTTTATTTTTACCTAGATCTGCCACAGTTCCTCCTTTAACAGGTGTATTTTCACTATCTTTCTTTGGGTTTACTAGAAAGAAAAAAAAAAATCATGTTTTAAGGGGAAAGTTGTACTTGTTTTTAAGAAAACAGAATAGAAGATTAAAACACATGAATGTCAGGGCAACGCTATTGTCATTCAGTACTCACCTTCAAGTAACTATCTTAAGCTCAGCTAAGAAATATTAACACTTTAAAGTAACAGACTATATTTTGTATTAATTAAATAAGCAGAACTCTTCTGTCATCATAAAAGTAAACAGTACAGAAATATAGAGAAAACCCTGAAAAGAACCTTTTAACCCCTTTATCAAAAGCATGTTTTATTATTTTTTGTCTACTTGTGTATCCCCATTTGTGTGCCATTCATTAAGACAGACAAATTGAGGGAGCACTGATACCTTTCACATCTATGGAGACTTGAAAACATCCTGAGGGTTTTAAATCTTACAGGTGTAAAGTTATCATGCTGTGCTTAATCCTTAGTATTGTTTTTATCATAATGCACCTATGTATCTTTCCATGTATTTTTAGTTACATCTCCTTTATTTGTTCTTTCAGCTTCACCATAAGGCATGCAGGATCTTAGTTCCTCAACCAGGGATCAAACCCTGCACCCCTGCAATGGAAGCACTGAGTGTTAACCACTGGACTGCCAGGGAAGTCCTCTTTTATTTTTAAGAGCCTCTGTGTCCATGAGTGGATCATAACTAGTCCTATGTCAATGGAAACTTAGTTTATTTATCTTCAACTTTTCATTACTCTGTAATCAATATTCTTTTATACTTATTTTTACATATACATGCAATTATTTAATAGGGATTCTGTAATTAAGACTGCTACTGGATGTATACTTTTTTATTTTGGCCACACCACACAGCAAGCATGTGGAATCTCAGTTCCCTGACCAGGGACTGAACCTGTCTGTGTTCCCTGAGTTAGAAGCACAGTCTTAATCAGTGGACTGCCAGGAAAGTCCCTGGATGTACCCATTTTAAAATTTAAGAGATAGCCAAATCATGTTAAGTGGCTTCATCAAATTATACTTTCACTGAGAACTAGGGACACACAGCAAGGAGAGAATCATGCCATGGCACTGCTGAGTGATTAAATCACATCTAACATTCTCATGTCTATGCAAAAGGATACAAACCATTCTTTGGAAGAACCACTTCCTCTATGTTGGGTACAGGTGTTGGGTCTTCCATGTCCTTGGTAAGATCTTCTTGCTCATCTTCCTCTTTCTGACTTCTCCGCTTCCCATAAAGACTAGCTTGGCTAAGACACAAAAAATGTGTAAACACAACAAGACTATAGCTACTTACAGCAAACAATTTCAGAGATTTTAACTACATTGTTGGAATCTATGCTCAGAATCACTTTAAGAGACAAACATAAATCCAAACAAATTAGATACATTCCCCAAATTACATCTAACCTGTCAAGAGGAAAATAAAAACTACAGGGCATAAGAAATGGCCACAGAAATCCTACAATTCAAACTGCAGACAGTATCCTAAAAGGCAATTACATCAGTGTAGCAAAACAAACCTCTGCTATGGAAATACAAGTATTTTAAAGATCATAAAGAATCACACAAGAAATTTTCTCGAAGATATATACAACTAACTGGGTAGTTTGCGTTTTTCTTTTGGTTTGTTTTTTGTATTCTTCCTGGCTCTCTGTATCATCCAAACACCAGGAACTGCAAAGTAAAATCACTAAAGGCAGTGCAGTTCAGTTCAGTTCAGTTCAGTCACTCAGTCATGTCTGACTCTTTGTGACCCCAATGAATCGCAGCACGCCAGGCCTCCCTGTCCATCACCAACTCCCAGAGTTTACTCAAGCTCATGTCCATCGAGTCGGTGATGCCATCCAGCCATCTCATCCTCTGTCGTCCTCTTCTCCTCCTGCCCCCAATCCCTCCCAGCATCAGGCTCTTTTCCAATGAGTCAACTAAAGGCAGTACTAATATTTAAATTTGTAAAAATTCCCATTACTCTTTCATCAATTCAAGCAAATCAACATCTATTTTTTAAACTAACACACACAAGAAAGCCTATTTAAAGTTCACACAAGAATGGACTGATTCCTTATCTTGAAGAATTACAGGATGAAAATCATAAACTTCCTCATTCAATGTGATGTGTATTGACACAAAAAAAGGAATACAAGGACAAAAAAAAAAAAAAACCCACCTTCAGAGAGATAGTCAAGTGACAGTTAAGCTAAACCTTGGGAACTAAAACAGTTCACTAAAAAGTTGGCAGTGTTTCAGGATGATGAGTAAAAACATAAGAAAAAAAAATTCTGTTTTGGGCTAGTAATTTAGAATATATTGACAAGGAAATGAGAACGGAGAAATAGAGTGGAGACTCCTCACACTGCTGAGAATGCACACAGCTCTCATTCTCCAGGGACAACATGGTGGCACAGGTGAGACAGTGTAAAGATAATTTTTAAAATAAAAATCATAGGACAGATTTTTAAGTCTATGAAATTAAAGGGAGCAGACAGAGCAAATACTTTAAAAGCAAGAAAAGATGAGAGGAAGACGAACCTAACAAATGTTAGGAAAACAGGTTTCAAGATGTTTTGGTTAGACAGAGTAGTCTAAGGGGGAATTTAAATGAGCAGAGTCCTGCTCATTAGAAGGCAGATGCATGTATTAAAGGACATGCACACATTTATTTTGGGAACGTCTATGTGGCGGGTTTTATACTCAAGAGTGACGCTTCCCTGGTGGCTCAATGGTAAAAAACCCATCTGCCAAAGCAGGAGATGTGGGTTCAATCCCTGGGTTGGCAAGATTCCTGGAGAAGGAAATGGCAATCTAATCCAATAGTCTTGCTGGGAAATCCCATGAACAGAGGAGCTAGGCAGGCTACAGTCCATGAGATCACAAAAGAGTTGGACATGACTTAGCGACTATAAACAACAATACTTACAGTAGAGGCTAAATGCCACCACTGTGAGCTTCCTGGACATAACATTTAGTTCTGTGGCCACTCCTATCCTAGCAGCTCATCTTAGGCCATAAAGGGAAAAGCAACATATCAATTTCAGGCCCCAAAACACCTGGAAAAGTTGTTATATTACAGGTAGCTCTGAAATCACTGAACATCAACAGTTTCAGAATTTATGAAACTTACTTCCTAAATTTCTAAGTTTAGGAAATAAGGTTACCCTCCTCAACCCCCAAAGAATAATCTATTTTAACAACAAATACATGTGACTTGACAAAAATAACAAAAATCTTTTATGTATCTGTGACCATCTCATTATTATTTATGAGACTAAGAGTTTCTTAAATTCTCTAAAAGCTTCTACACATGTTTAAGAATGCTTCAAGTAACCTTTCAAGAAATAATGTGCCAAAGGCAAATGTGGCTAAGAAAGTCACAAAAGCAAACTAACAGAAAGAAGATATTGGCACCGTGAAGATATACTTGATAACAGCTAGAAATTCAACTAATTCACTACCACATGAGAAGAATAAATTTTGGAAACTCTCATCTTCTAAAACTAAACTGTAACCTTTAAGAAACTGGTTAAAATATATTTTGAGCTAGACAACCCTGAAATTATTAAGTACTTACTTAATATACATTTATTATGTACATAATATATACTATGTATTATGGACCATCTATTATCTACTTCAGGGCAGGAACTATACAAGGTCTTTAAAAGTCTCACTTAATCCTCACAAGAACCTATTCAACAGAAACCAAAACCTCCACTCAAGCAAGATTCACTATGTGACTAACTGAACACGGCACTATACTGCTACACCAAGCAGAACATGAACAGAGGTGTAAGTCACTCGGATCATGTACAGGACCAGCTGGTAAAAACAGTAGAAGACAGTACCAAGTCAGACATCCCTACAGAAAAACACCAATGTAAATGTAAAACTCCGGGAAGTCCTTTAGAGTCTGTTTCAGTGCCTTCTGCACCACGGTGCAGCTCTTACCCTTTCTTCCCACTCTTCTTCCGGGATTCTGTGGGTGTGGGGGGCGGAGGGGAAGGTGAATGTTTCCTCTTTCGAGCATTAGCTGATGCTTTTCTATCTCTTCTCTCTGGACTTCTGACTGGCTAGGAAGAAGGAAATGGAAATAAATATCAGCCAGCTTTGCTGATGCCTCAGTTTCCACAAATCCTTGTCCAAAACTAAGATTTCACAAAGAAGATGTCAAACCTACTAGCTCAGAGTAAATGAAAGGCACAACGTGAAACATCCTGGACCACTAGCTATCAGAAGACTTTCCCTACCTTCCAGGGGACACACCATTGATAGGTGTGTCCTATCCACAGGGATTCAAACTATGCTACAGAACAGACATGCTCAAACCCTGTACGACTAAAAGCTGTTCCTGTTCAAATTCTGTGTGGGGGGCAGGGGGCGGGGGGCGGGGCAGGAGGGAAGAGAAGGGAGGGGAAACATTTACAATAACCACTGGAAAAAAACATGAAACACATGCTATTAAATTAATGAAATACAAAGACTGGCTGAATAACCATGTGAAAGAGTACCAGAAACTACTCCTAGTTCATCATTAAAAGAAATAGATGATTCAGAAGAAGTAAAACTTAGTAAGACTGCAAGTTTTTATTTAAAAGCCAACCCACAGGAATAAAACTATTCCTGTTTGCAGATGACATGATCTTACATACGGAAAAAGAATCCACAAAAACACTATCAGAGCTAATAAATGAGCTCAGCAGTTGTAAGATGGGCTTCCCTGGTAGCTCAGCTGAAAAGAATCCACCTGCAATGCAGGAGACACCAGTTCGATTCCTAACTCGGGAAATTCCATTGGAGAAGGGGTAGGCTACCCACTCCAGTATTCTTGGGCTTCCCTGATGGTGCAGACGGTAAAAGCCACCTGCAGTGCGGGAGACCTGGGTTCGACCCCTGGGCTGGGAAGATTCCCTGGAGGAGGGCACAGCAACCTACTCCAGTATTGTTGCCTGGAGAATTCCCATGGACAGAGGAGCGGGCTATAGTCCACGAGGTCACAGAGAATTGGACATGGCTGAGAAGCTAAGCACAGCACAGAGTTGTAAGATATCCCATAAATCAATACACAAAAGTCAGTCTGTAGGTGATAATTACCAATTTAAAAGAATGGATCATAATAAAGAAAATATACCTAAAAGGATCCAAAGTACTGTATCTGAGGTTAAAAAAAGAATCAGAGATTAAAACATCAATTAAACATCAACGTCCTCTGGTACCCTCACACTCTTTACAACTATCCATTTCCTTTCAGAAGCTCTGTAGCATCAAATTCAGAATGTGGATTATCTTACAGGTCAATCAAAGAAGTTTGTTTGTGGCCACAACCAAGTGGCATACAGGATCTTAATTCCCCAACAAGAGACTGAACCCATTCCCTCTGCAGTAGAAGCACGGTGTCTTAACCACTGGACCACTGGGAAAATCCCCTGATCAGAGAAGTTTAAAAGAAAATCTAAACCACATATCTCTGATTGTATAGTGGGAAGTTAAAGTTTTAAAGGGGGATATTAAATTAGTTTTTATATAATCCCCCCTAAAATAAGTGAATAAACAACCTAAATCTGAGCAGGAGTAGATCTGAATATGCCAATTCAGTAATGTACTGTGGAAATCAGTATTTTCAGTAACAAAAGACTCAGCCTGAAATACATTAAGGAGAAACAAATACATAAGCATTTAAGTGAGATGGCTGAATGGCAATGCTGACTCAATGGACATGAGTTTGAACAAGCTCAGAGAGATAGTGAAAGGCAGAGAAGCATGGTGTGCTGCAGTTCATGGGGTTGCAAAGAATTGGACATGACTCAGCAAATGAACAACAATGTAAGTGGGGGGGGAGAGTAAAATTAAAAAAAAATTTAAGTCAAATTCCAAAGAAAATAGGAACAAATTAAAAAGATATGAAAAAAAAAAGATATGAAAAAGACTCAGCTTTTAAATTTTTTAATATTTTTTTCTTAAAAATAAAGAATCTTCAGTGTGTGACAGTTTTGGTAAGAAAATTTCAGGGCTGAAAATAAGTACGAAAGAACTGTATGTTCTAAATTATTTGTTAAATGTATTATGTCTCCAGATTTTTTTCAGAAAACTAAAATACAAGACAAAAAGCAAAAATGTTAAGTGTCCCCAGCAAAATAGACATCTGGACTCACAGGTGTCCATGTGAAAATGTCATAACCCAACATGAACACATGTCAGCCTTCTTCTCAGACTCAAGTGTTTCTCTAGTGACACACCCACTTCTAAACTTGTAACTTATTTATAAAGAAACATGGATAAATATTTAAGTGGCTTAAGGATTAAGTGTTAACTGTCAAGTTTGCCCACCTCAAAAGAGAACTGAACTATAATTTTTGAGACCTTTAAGGCCTACACTTTATTGTGTGTGCTAATTCACTTCAGTCATCTCCAACTCTGTGTGATCCGAGACTGTAGCCCACCAGGCTCCTCTGTTCATGGGGTTCTCCAGGCAAGAATACTGGAGTGGGTTGCTACACCCTCCTCCAAGGGATCTTCCCCACCTAGGGACAGAACCTGTGTCTCTTCCATCTCCTGCATTGGTAGGTGGGTTCTTTACCACTAGCACTACCTGGGAAGCCCAACAAAGTTATTAAAAAATATTAAAATTAAATCAGTTTTCCTGTGGAAAATGATATTTAGTTTACAAAATTCATACTCAAGATCTAGAAACCAAAATCAGTTGTATCACTTTCCATACTGCATGACCCACTTTAAACCTTAATGACTCTCTGAGACTATCACACTCCTTTTTGGGAGATGCCAGCTCCTGAGATGGTCATTTAGTAACTTTTTATATACACTTGATGGCTGATGAGCTTGCTTTGTACGTTAGTTTATTAATAAGATTTGATAAGATACAGGCCAAGGAAGAAAACACCAAGAGGAAAAAAAATGGTGCCAAACCAAATACCTCTTCATTCTTTGTTGAAATTCGCTGACGAAAACTCACGGGCTTCCTGTTCTCATCTACCTCATAATCCTCCTCATTCATCCATTCATTGAAAACATCAGTGTCCAAAATCCATTTTGCATGAACCTAAAATCACATCAAAGCATGAAGAGCTACACAAGTAATAAACTGCTACAATTTTAAAGTACTCAAAATGAAATAAGCTGATTTATTATACTTAAAGCTTCAATTACATATAGTTTAAAAATATAAGATTATTAATGATATATGAGTGGCAACTTAATTTTAACCATGTCTAATTTTTATTCCATATCTTTGATTGAATAAATAGTAAAAAAGCATCACAAGTTTTGTGTGCACTGAGGTTTTGATAATCAAGACCCTTAAATTTTATAATCATGTCTTTTTATTTGATTTTATTAGGATATAACTGAAAAATAAAAGTGAAGACATTTAAGGTGTACACTGTGATTTGACATATGTACACTTTGTGAAGGATTCCCCACCCCCAGTGAACCCATCACCTCACATATTTATCTCACGTGTGTGTTAGCATGCACATATGAGAACATTTAAGTCTACTCAGCAAATTTCAAGTCTAAAATACACTGCTTTCAACTTTTTTCATATTTGACATTAGCTCCTCAGACCTAATTCATCTTACAGCTGAAAAGTGGTTTTCCTATTTCTCTTACTCCCCAATCCCTGGCATCCACTTTTCCACTGTTTCTAGGAATAAATTTTTTTTTTAGATTCCACATATAAGTGATACCATATGGTATTCATATTTCACTATGTGGTTCATTTCACTAATCGAGGCATCTTTATCTTCACAAAAATCAGTGATAAAAACATTCAAAAACAGAAGGCCCAAGATAATTATTTCCTTATGCATAAAGGATATCTCTATATTTATACATTCAGTAACATTCTAAGTAATTACAAAAGATAAATTTTAGATAAATTTCAAATTTCAAATGTCACAGCATTTGAAAACGTACTAGTTTTTCAAAGTACTGAAAAGAATACATATATTTTAAAAGCAGAGCCGAAGATTCACATTGTACATTCTTTACTATCCAGAAAACCTTGGCAGAATTCTCTTGAGAAAGTATGTTAGGACAATATGAACAACTAACAATCATCTGTGCCAGCCATTCTGCTGAACACCTTACAAACAATATGATCTCATTTAATCCCTTAAAGCAATGCAGGTTAGCCTATCCAGTTTTCCAATCAGCAAAAGGGGCAGAGTGTCAGTAAGCTGCCCACTTACTTACCCTACTAGAGAGAAAACTTGGATTTGCACTGAGTTCTGCCTAAGCTCTTAAACTACTATGCTCTATTAATCTTTCTCATAAAAATACCTTCGCATCAGAATAATATAATAGGTTGTACAATCTTAAATAAAACTAGCCCAGTTTCCTTACCTGTAAAATGATACTATGGTAAAATGCTATCAAGTCCAGTCCTAAACTTGTGATTTAGTTTATAAGTTCTACACTTATTATGCAGAGTACATCATGTGACATGCTGGGCTGGATGAAGCACAAGCTGGAATCAAGGTTGCCAGGAGAAATATCAATAACCTCAGATATGCAGATGACACCAACCTTATGGCAGAAAGTGAAGAGGAACCAAAGAGCCTCTTGATGAAAGTGAAAGAGGAGACGGAAAAAGTTGGCTTAAAACTCAACATTCTACATGAGAGAAGACAGTTCATTTTCTTTTTCAAGTTTTCAATGAGAGAATGGTTTGGATATAACCTCTTAAGTTACATTTAAAGGTAGTTTTTGTTGTTGTTTTTTTAAATCATCTTCCCCAAAGATAATGGGACAACACAAATATAGAGGAAATTGATATGCTTTACTGAAGAGTCAGATAGTAAACATTTTAGGCTTGCAAGCCATATGTTCTCTAGGTCTATTCAACTCTGCTGCTATAGTATGAAATCAGCCACAGAATATATATAAATGAATGGGTTTGGTGATCTAATAAAATTTTATATGCAAAAACAGGTGGCTTTAATTTACCCAAGAGGATACAATTTGCCAATCTTTGTCAAAGGGAAACATAGTTTTATCCAATTGATACTCCATATACCAGACTTCGTAGAGGAAAAAATTTCAAAAAGTATTAATTACTAAATGATTATTCTGAGATGATTAGTGAAATCCAAAGAGAATTATACAACTTTACTGATATAAAAGATCTAAATAAATAGGGAGATAAATTGCTTCCACAAATTGAGAGACTCAATACTGTAAAGATGTCAGTTCTCTCCAAGTTATTCTATAGATTAAATGTAATTCCAACCAAAACTTCAATGAGTTTAATATGGACCTCAACGAACTGATTCTTAACTTTATACAAAACAACAAAGACCCAAGAGACTCCTGAAGAAAAAAGTGGGAGTACTACTCAGAACAAATCAACTAATTAAACTTCATAACTGCCAAGAAACAAACCACGACTTGTATAAAAGCTTACTTCTGACAGAAATGGCATGGATCATTGGGAGAGAAATCCAGCTTTAGTATTTTCCCACCCTGAATGGAGAGCTGATCTAACACCACATCAAGAAAAAATCTTTCCTACATCATAACATGTTAAAAAATTAATTCCAAGAAGATTAAAGATCTATATACAAAATGCAAAACTAAAGAATAATTTTTAAAGATGATATAGGAAAATATCAAGATGACCTCAGTACTGAAAAACAAAAAGCTAAGCTTACTAGGAAAATTTATTTTTAATACAAGTAACTGGTAACATAACCGTGCATATTATGATGCAGAATATCTAAATAACATCCACAAAGAAAAAAACAATGCAATGGAAAAAAGCAAGAGGTAGAAACAAGCACTCCATAGAAGAAACACCACAAGTCCAAGAATTCATGAAACAGTGACAAAGCTATGTGTCACAGATGCAGAAAACACACACACGGTTACCAAGGGAGAAAGGGGGGAGACTGGATTGACATGAACACACTACTCTACATAAAACATTTAATAAGAACCTACTGTGTAACTCAGGGAACTGCTCAATGCTCTGTAATGACCTATATGGGACTAGAGTCGAGGAAAGACTGGATCTATGTATAACCAATATATACTCTGCTGTACAGAAGAACACAACCCTGAAAATCAACTATGCTCCAATACAAATTTATTTTTTAAAAATGACCAGGTCAAGTGGCAACAATGAAATATGAACAGTAGACTAAAATGCTGTCAATGTTAAATGTACTGAATTTGACAACTGTACTGTGCTGATGTATGAGAATCCCCTATTCCTAGCAAATATACACTTACTGGAATAAAGACCCATTCCATATGCATCTTTTACCTCAAATATTTGGAAAAAATATTTATATGCAAGTATCAAATATAAACAGTAACTTAAAAAGGGAATAAAATGTTAACAGGCAAATATGGATGATGGGTATACAGGTATGCCAAGTACTATTCTTTTTCTTGCAACTTTTCTGTAAGCTTGAAATCATTTCCAAATTAAAAGTTTGTTTAAAGAAAGTGAAAGTGACTTCGCTCAGTTGTGTCTGACTCTTTGTGACCCCTGTAGCCTACCAGGCTCCTCCATCCATGGGATTTTTCAGGCAAGAGTACTGGAGTGGGCTGCCATTTCCTTCTCCAGCAAATCTTCCTGATGCAGGGATCGAACCCAGGTCTCCTGCATTGCAGACAGATGCTTTACCATCTGAGCCACCAGGGAAGTTTATTTAAAACAAAAAGTATTTTTTGCTAACTCCATATGGAATCTAAAGCTCAAAGGCTATCTCTCTGAAGGTCAAACAATTGGAAATAGGCTGAACCAGGTCTAAAATATAACACTTTGATCCAATTCAAGTGTTGCTTATCCTATATAAAAGTCAATAAAAAATCATGTATAATCACTCGTGGAAAATAGAGCTACCTGTAAAAATACTGGGATAGGGACAGTACAAAAAGAGTCTGGAACATCTTTTGCCCCAGAAAGTACGAGGTATGCAAAAATGAATCAAACAATGCCAAAAGATCACAGGAGGCAGCTTAAAAGAGTTTCCACTGGCCAAATTCAGGTAATTCATCAAAATGTAGTAGTACTGTCAGTGTTCTGTGAGTGCATGCAGAACACAGACACACATCAAGGGAGAATGGAAGAACTGTCCTCACTGTGAAATGCCACCTGCAAACAGACAGCATCAGTAACAGAAATGATTCGTGGATGAGCAAACCTTCAGACACGAATCTAATTTAAAAAAAGGATATCTCTACACTCTCAAAGTTTTTCCCTATAAAATATCTTAAATGTTGATGAGAAAAATGGCAATGTTACAGTGAGAAAACCAGGCAGATAGTATCTTAACAAATGATCCAACGATCAGCCATAATGGGGAAAATGGACAACATGAGGTGCCCAGTATGAGGCACTGAGAAGGATACCACATTAGATATGGAATACTGCAGCCCAAAATGCATAGCGTGAACATAACAATGAGGAATATACAAACTAAAATTCAAGGACATTCTAGAACTATAACAACAACAACTAACCTATGTATTTCAAAAATGACAATGTCACAGAAGGAAAAGAAAAAGCTGAAAGTTTCAGATTAAAATAGAATAGAGATGTAACAACTAAATGTAATGTGTGATCCTGAACTGGATCCTGCATCAGGGTAAAAACTTAAATATACTATAAAGCTTCTTGTATCAACAGGACAATTCATGAAAATGGAATATGGGCCCTGTATCAGGTAATAAATTATTTCAATAATTAATAAGAGGGGAATCTGGAAGAATATAAAACAATGCTTTGCTTTGTACTACTCTTGCAACTTTCAAATTTATTTCCACATTAAAAGCTGAAAACATTATATAGAAATGAACAGTAAGACGAGTCTATATAAAAGTCATGCAAGCACTGCTCCTAGCCTTCCTAAATGACATCAACGATGTTCAACTCCACTTCTAACACTCCTTTCTCAATATCTCAAACTACAATCTAACATGGCTTTGAGGTCTCCTCAAACATCACTGCAGACATCTGATCTAAGACCTGGATAATGAGGTCTTCAAGACAATAGGTATCTCCTAACAGGATGATAAGAAAGAAAGGTCATCACTCTGTATATATCTCTTTAAAAAATCACTGTTGTTGAGAATAGCTAAGAAGAGCTATTAACTTATGAAACAGCAAATTTTGTTTTTACTTTTTAAAAAACTCTGTTTTAAAAAAGATCTCTCACCTTCCATGGTTTTTCTGGAATTGGTGGATCTTCAATTTCCGCATCAACATCATTACTATGGACCCAAGTATCATAGCTATAAAAAAAATGGAAAAAGAAATTAGAACCCAAATTCATTCACTTTGATCTAGAGGTACAAACACATTTTAGAAATACTGTTAGGATCCAATAACAGCAAATTATCACATTCTTTTGTCTCTAACACTCTAACAAGAAAACTCTCCTGCAGAGGTCTACAGTAATCTTCACATTGTGAAACCCAAAGGTGAAGCCTCTGTGCACAGAATTTTAACATGTTAACCACTCCTTTATATATGCTCCTCGCTACCCAGATATCCATCTAGCTCACTCCCTCCTGTCTTCACATGTCTCTGCTCAATGGTTCTCTTATCAGTGAAATCCAGCTCACTGATATAAATTACTCCCCACCACCGCTACAATTTTGAAATAAGTATAAAATTACCTACCAAGTTACCTACTTTATCAATGCTCCCTTACTGGCCAGTAAATTATTATAAAACTAAGCCATACGTGAATGAAACACAAATACGGTAACAAGCAACGGCTGGCTTTAGCCACTTCTCAGAAGTTAGTTCAAAAGCATTCGGCACAAGTATAGCTCAACGTATCTATAAACGCACTGTGCTAAGTTTTCTAGGAACATTTAAAAATGAACTGGCGGGAAAAAGTTCCTTTGCCAAATAATTAACTATAACAAGTAAAGATTATGATGGTGATTAAGCCTTACATTCTTTAAGTCTTAATGAGAAAATGTTACACAAGAAGTGAGGGCACAAACTAAGTTACTAAAGAAAGTGAATTAACAAGGTCCCTTGAGAAGATAAGACATGAGCTAGCCATTACAATTTATTTGAAACATAAACAAAAGGCTAGCAAAAAGGCTAACATGTCTTATGAAGTGTTAACTATAAAATTCGTTTCAATCGTATGCTTTATGTAGCTTGTCATAAATTTGAGTTTCCACCTAAGTGTTTCAAACTGCAATAGTTCCTGTAATAGTTCTTATAATGCTGAAAACTTTAATAGTGCCGTGAATACCTAGAGCCTTGAGATAAGAAATGTTCTCTAGAAAGAATTTACCTAAATATTATTTTTAAAAAATGTCAGTTCATGTAAAGTGGTCAATTATAGTTCAGAAAAGGTTGACAAGCAAGCTAATTGATCTTGGTTCTAATTAACTCAACTTATATAAAAACTGTTCTTTAAATTATGAAGATACCTAAAAATGTATTTCTTTCTCAAAAATATATATTTACAAGTAAAATAAAGTCACTCAAACAGATTAACTTAAAAACACCACATAACCAAGACACTATATGTCTCCTGATGAAGAACATACAGCTATGCAAGTTTTGCTCCTTTCCTAAACTGAAATAGATTCTGATCAACTCTAGACCCAGAGAATGAAGAAACGTTCAAACACATCACAGTGACGCCATAAAAAATTCCAGTGTGGTAAAATCTGTATGACAAACCACCCAATTTCTTGAGTAATACACTGTAAGGAGGGGTGAAGACACAGAGAGAACCCACAGGGAGAACTGAAAAATACCTAAGAAATAAATCGACACAAGATGTGTTTAAATTCTAATTCTAACAAACATCAATCTTATCAATTAAACAAATGTATCAGGTGTCAATGACTTGATATTTGACATTAAGGAGTTCCCTGAAATTTTTTAGGTTTGACAGTGGCTGTGTGCTTATTTCTTAAAAAAAATTTAAAAAAACTATCTTTCAGAAATGCATACTGAAATATTTATAACTGAAATACTGAAATGATGTCTTGGATTTGCTAACAAAAATGTGGTAGCAAAGGCTAAACGTGGATGTGGATACAGGTGAAAGAAGACTGGTGTGACATGAAAAACCCACAACAGAGAGTCTGTTCACTTGACAGAAGTGAAATGAAAACTTGAACAGCTCTACCACAGGCTTAAGATAAAGGATGTGAAAGGTTATCCTTTTCCTACATGCCCTCTATGCAGCCATAATATTAAATAACAAGAGCCACTATTTTCACTGACATTAGTTTTTGTTTATAACATTAATTCACATTTAGATACTGAAATAGAGTATGAGTTATGGCACATGCTTCATTTTACACATAATTTCATCCTTAATAAAGAATCCATAAACTGAAAAATAATTTGTTTCCTAAAGGAAACAAATCCAAATTAGCAGTCTAATACCTTAATGAAGGACTGTCTTGACAAACACAGCAAACTTATCAGTTTAAGATAAATAAAGCCTGTGAACTCCACTGCAATAAGTTAATAAATATGAAAGTCAGTAAGAGAATACTCAAAAGAAGTGAGTTCACTGACTAAAACAAATCAACAAAATTGTTACTATTCAGAAAGCAAAGCTATATATAACTGACTCTGACGAAACCGTTTATATACCAGGTCTAAGGACTTTTCAACATTACCTGTCAGGGTAAAACCCCCAGTGCACTAACACCTGCTTGTCTTTTCTCATCACAGGTCTCAACCACTCTTCTGAAAGGGAAAAAAAGAAAAAACTTTAGTCAATCTGGAAGAGATGAATCAACTACTTTTTGAATTTCTACCTAGAGTTTTTGATTTGCTAGAAGCTCCTCCAAAAATTCCTTACTAAGGGGAGGTTTTTCAGTGGTTATTCAGACTTACTAGATTCTAAGTCTGTTATCCATTACTCTTGATAAAACCAACTGTCTACTTCCGTAAAATACTCTCCCCCTCCCATCCACCTGCCTATTTGTCACCAGATCCACCCAAATCAAGACCACTATGTTCTTTACAGCTTCCTTTCCCACACAGAACCTCTCCTTCCTTTTTCTGGTAAGCTTTGCAATTATGACACATCGTTCAATGTGTAAGTCATGCTTCAGCTCCTTGATCAAAGTTTTACCAATTGCTCTTTTCCCTCCAGATTCACTTTCTCTGGTATCCTATGGCACTTCATAGTGTTGTATCAGAAGTTTAATCAATAATACCTGATTATATGTGAATGACTTCCTGTTAATTTAGCCCACTCAACAAGAGTGTAAACAATATGACATAGTGTAGATACTTTCAAGTTTCCTGAACATGTATGTGCACATGTATGTATCAGATGATTCTTGCTGATTTAATCATAGCTGAAACTTATCTGCATTTCAGTACTTGTTATGATTCCTTTGGTAGCTTAGAAAATTCTGGCAGCTTAAAAAACTTGTTTCCAGTACTAAAAAGGAACTAATGAGGTGATAAGCCCCTTGAATCTCACATAACAGCAGAACAGAAAAACTAAGTGAAATCAGCTAAGTAAAATTGGCTTCTCATTGCCAACATCAACAAGAAATAGCCCCAGCTTCACTGACTAATGCCATGAAGTCCACAAGCCTATAGGTTTCTGTCTCAACTAACTCAGTGTTGATGGGAAACCAGCATACTCTGAAAGCCTGGGCACCCACAAATCAAAGAGTTCACTAAATGGCTTGTTGCAGCAACAGCAAACTTGTGGTACAGCAGACAGACACTAGAGAGAGAGCAAGAGATTATAGTTTCCTGAAAGAGAAACTAGCAAAGCTCTCTGAGAAGTCACATACTCAAGCCCAGAAACTGTCTGATGGATGCCAGGTCTCAAGCTGAGCTGATCTGTGCAAGTCTTCGCCTATACCAAGCCAGGCCATAAAGACTGAGAGATGCAGCTCTTTGTCCAAATGCACAAAACACAGCAGGAAAACAAAACAAAACAAAACAGGAAGTGAAAGGGAAAAAGGCCCAATCAAAGGAATGAAATGAATCTTCAAAGTCAATCGTAAAGAAACAAACATCTATGGATTACCTGACAAATTCAAAATCATCAAAAATCATCATTTTAAAGAAGTTCAAAGTACTACAAGAGAACACACTTAAAACAACTAAACAAAACTAGGAAAACAATGTATGAACAAAATAAGAATATCAACAAAGAGATTCAAACCATAAAAAAAGAACCAAACAAATTCTGGAGTTTAAGACTATAAGAACGAAACTGAAAAATTCTCTAGAGGGGTTCAACATCAGACTTGGCCAATCAGAATAAAGAAAGCAAACTCAAAATCTGGTGGTTTGAGGATACATGTGTATATATAATGGAATCCCTTAGCTGTATACTTGCTAATCAACTATACTCCAATATAAAATTTAAAAAGTTTTTAAAAGCTAGTCATTTAAAATTATTAAAGTCAAAGAACAAAAGGAATTAAGAACAGATAAGAAAACCTAAGGGGTTTTTTTTGTCTATCTAAATAATTTATTTTGAACAGGATTTAGTCTGTTTTCCTCTTCTAACCCGTATCTCAATTTTTAAAAATTCTCTTTTCTTCTCTGAGGAAGTACACATTCTTTCTGCTAAAAGCAGTAATTCAAGCCATGTTCTTAAACCAATCCCTTTATCCCTATCAGGTCTTAACTAAATTATATGCTCTGCCCAGAAATATACCGTAAAGCCATCAATGAAAGACACACCCCAAACCATCTCCACTTTCTTTTCCCTGCCATACATTCTGGGGCAATGGTGATCTTCCACCAACTCTACAATGTGCTCTCATTTGCAAGTTACTGAAATTTCATTTCAAAGGTTATCAATTATTTCCTGACAGACCAAATGCCTTGTATCAGGCTTTACTTTCTTGGAGAAAAATTCTACTGCCCACAGCTTGTATTTGGAAATGCTTATCTTCCCTTGACTGGTAAAGATACGGACCATCCTGGTTTGCCACCTGACTTATCTCCTGTGCTCTCCTGATATGTGGATTTATCCCATCCAGTGGTAACGCATCCCCTCATCCAGCAATTTAATTGAGACCTTCCCAATGGATCCTGTTCTCTAACCAGTTTCCTTGTATCAAGTATCCCAGGAATCGGCTCCCAGGAAAATTCTCCTACTACAGCCAATAGCTACATGTTTTTCTTCACCAAACCATCAAAATTTGTTTACCCCCTGCTTCACTCACCAAATAAAAACAAAGCTCTTTAAATAAGACTCATGTTCTCTCACCTACTCACTCTATTCCCCACTATCCTGATACACAGTCAAACTTTGCCACTTGATTTTTCTCAAATTTCATAATTTATTCCTCTAAGTTTTATTTTGTGCCCCCTTTAGGATACCATATTCAAAATATTACTAATATCTTAAATATCACCTTTTATTTTAAACTTAATTAATCTATATAAAAGGCACACTGCACTTGCAAGAGTTTTACAACATGGTTGTAATGTGCTGTGGCTGCATTGTTGTTTTTTTTTTTTTAATTTAAAAAGTTTATCCATTGTTGTACTAAGGTGTGTTACAACTACTTTGACAGTGTTATGTCAAGAAACATATTTCATAATAGTTAGTCCAGTAATTCCACCTATTTGGAGAAATATTTTTTCTTTGCAACTTAACTGTCCATCAACTGATGAATGAATGAATAAAATGTAGTATCACACAATGTACTATTATTTGGCAATAAGAAGGAGTGAAGGGCTGATCCAACATGGATGAGCCCACAAAAACCCACTTACTGCATGATTTTTTTTTCCAATGTTTGTTGGTAATTTGATCTCTGCTCCCTCTGCCTTTTCTTTTTTTTTTTTTTTCCATTTATTTTTATTAGTTGGAGGCTAATTACTTTACATCATTGCAGTGGTTTTTGTCATACATTGAAATGAATTAGCCATGGATTTACATGTATTCCCATCCCGGTCCCCACCCCCCACCTCCCTCTCCACCCGATCCCTCTGGGTCTTCCCAGTGCGCCAGGCCCGAGCACTTGTCTCATGCATCCAACCTGGGCTGGTGATCTGTTTCACCCTAGATAATATGGCTGCATTGTTATCATCCGCAGATACCTCAAATGGTATACATAATGAGCCCAACACAGAGCTTTGCTGAGAGTCAACATTAACTTGTCAGCTTTCTAAGGTAAATCCTATAGTGTGAAGAAGCAACTTACATTAAAAAATAGCTTCCAATATATTAAAATTAAAATGCTATCTCCTAATAATTACTCTAACTACTGACAGCAACATACAAAACAACCATCAGTATGCAGTAATCAAGGTTGGGTTAAACAAAGGAGAAAAAACCAGCATGAATAAGAAATCTAGATATAACAATTACAGTTCAAATCTTTTGTAAAAGGTAATTTTTTCCAGAAAGTTCATAACTTAAAAGTTCCATACCAGTCTCATTGGAGGAGAGTTAGCCAACAACAGAATGCTATATACACAGCTAATTCACCACCTCCACCTAGTGGAAACCAATTGCTATTACCTAAAAGGATAAAAATCTGAGAAACCACCAATTAAACAGGGAAGGCAGAATGAGGTTTCACACTTTATGAAAGTATCATAATCACAGAGCTAAAACTGTGACTGTTACAAATCAAATCAAGATTTCTGCATCAAAACAGATAATGAAAAGACCTAAATGTCATAGCTAAACTATAAAACTATTAGAAGAAAGCCAAGTATAAAACTTCATGACTCTGGATTTAGGAAATGGTTTCCTGAATTTGACACCAAAAGCACAACCAAGAAATCTAACCTCTTAAAACTGTTTGTAGTATCTATTGGATCTGCAGTGATGTCCCCCTTCCATTCTTGACATTATTCTTTCTCTTTCTGTCGCTTATATGCCACACGATTTTGTCTTATTAGTTTTTTCTAAGAACCGTTTCTGATACTGCTCATCATCTTGCTATTATTACTTTCTAGTTCTTAAGTTTTGCCCTTGTCTTTATTATTTATTTCCTTCTTCCTTTAGGTTTAACTTGCTGTTGTTTCTCTAAATTCTTCAGATAAATTTCTTATGAACCACTGAATTTTCAGTCTTTCTTTTTTCCTAATATATGCATCTAAAGATAAAAATTTCCCTCCGAGCATAGCTTCGGCTGCATTCTACAAAATTTAATGTTCTCACACTTTATTATTCACTTCATAATTATTCAGCTCCAAAGTTTTCCCATTTCCATTACAGTTTTTTCTTTGACCCATGGATTATATGGCAAAATATTTCTTAGCTTTCAAGCATACAGGGATTATCTGGTAATCTTTTTGTTATTGACTTCTAGCATAACTGCACTGGTCAGGAAAAAACACTCAGCATGGGGTAATTAGTCATTCAAATCTGATATAATTTGGCTTTTCATATAGATGTCCTAAAGGGATATGATGTGCTTACCAGAGACTTGATCTCTATAAGAGATCTAATCTCAATCTAAATTAGTTAACGTGGTTGATTAACTCAGAGCTTGTTTCCCAACTTTCCAACCTTTGAAAGAATGGTTAGCACAAATCTTTGTAAAAGGTACAAACTCAGTCTTCATAGGTCTAATGAACTCTGGCCAATGACAAAATTAACTTTCATGACAGCAGAGTTAAAGATCAAAATCTGAATCACTATAAATTCACCAAACTGAAATATTGCTGAGGGGCCCTGTTTAGACAGTAAGCCAATCCTTCCAAGAGATATTCCTCTATCTTGCAATTTTTCTTAATTTTCAGAACACAAGAGGCACAGCAAACATTAACAAAGTTAATACGTAAGCCTGGCCTAGACTTAACAACCAGATAATGATTACCAACAAAGAAGTAAGTCTAATGATTAGAAAATTGGATGTCATAGAATTAGCTTGCCAAAAAACTCAGAGCAGAAAAAAAACCAACCCTATGAACTTAAATTATCGATGAAATTTAATACTTAAAAGTCTCTTATCTTTAAAAAGCTGGTTATACTGTTTAAACCACTTGCCATAACTTAAAAATCTAGTAAAATATCAGTTTATTAGTTCATAATCAAAAACTAACTTACCATCCTCTTGTGAGGAAGGATATGGATAAACGTGGTGGGAAGCTTTTGACTTCTCATCAGTAAATGTTCCCTGGAAAGCAAATGAACAAGTAATGTAAAAATAAAACATATGACAAACAAACTATGAGATGCCAGATGCAAACTGCCTGGGAATTACAGGGGCATTATTCTACATTTTAAATTTCAGCAGCATTATTTTAAGACTATAATATTTTTATTATTTTTAGTCAACGAAAGGGATAGTGATTAACAAGAAACAAAAGCAAATTATCTATAGACAGTTTATATTTTGTATAGGAAAATAATGCTAATTTATTAGCTAACTCTTGGTTAATTCTCTCCAGAAGTCTCTCTCTGGGTAACTTTATCAGTAATTTGAATACCTTCAACTAATTTTGCAAGCTATTCCAAAGTCATCACAAATTATCAATGTTACTTGAAGTGAATCAATGCAAGTTTAAGGCCATGAGCCGTAAGCTTAGGCCACATACATACAAGACAGACATCTGACTTCACTCCAGTATGTATGTATGCTACTGCTGTCTTAAGTCAATGATAAAACGCTGAAGTCAAGTTCTGGCTAAGTCACAGGTAGAATACTACATACAGTCTAGAACATGACATGGAAGTCAGCTATTTTTATTTATTATTATTTAGGGGGAGAACATACGGGGTGCAGGATCTTAGTTCCCCAACCAGGGATAGAACCCAGGCCCCCTGCATTGGGATCACAGAATCTTAACCACTGGACCACCAGGAAGTCCCATGACTTGAAGTCGCTTACATACAAAAATGCTCATTCTTGGGACTTCCCTGGTGGTCCAGAGGCTAAGACTCTGCGCTCCCAGTGCAGGGGGCGTGGGTTCAATCCCAGGTCAGGGAGCTAGATCCCATACACTTCGACTGAAGATCCCCCATGTTGCAACCAAGATCCAACTTGGCCAAATAAAGATATGCTTTTTAAAAAATGCTCATTATAGAAACCATAAAAATGACAAGAAGTCTTAAAACCAGGTATAAGAAGCACATTAACATATTACCTAATTTTGTGTTTGACAATGAGTATTTACTAAATATTATAATCAGAAAACACTATAATGCAACTTTCAATGGAAAGAAAACTCTATAAACTTCTCAGATTTAGGGCTATCTAAAAATGACTGTTGTGCTTGTGCATGCACAATCGTGCCCAACTCTTTGCAACCCCATGGACTGTAGGCCACTGGGCTCCTCTCTCTATGGAATTTTCCAGACAAGAATACTGGAGTGGGTTGCCATTTCCTACTCCAGGGGATCTTCCTGGCCCATGGATCAAACCTGCATCTCCTGCGTTGGCAGGCAGACTCTTCACCACTGACCCATGTAAAGATGAAAGAATTCTCAATCACCAGAGTATTAGAGCACATTTGTAACAGCCAGAGGAAAGGTTAAAAAGGGAATGTCAACATCTAATGCGTGAGGCAACAGTCAGAAGAGCACACTATCGAGGACTCTGGCCTCTAGAGTCCATCAGACAGGGCTGGGTTTGCACCCCAGCTCCACCATGTACTACTTAACTGACATGGGACAAGCACCCAATATTTCTGTGCTTCAGTGTCTTCTGCGGTGACAAAAAACCTTTTTTACAAGAATTTTCTTAGGACTAGGTTAATAGACACAATGAGCTAAGAACAGTGACAGGCACACTGTAAGCGATCAATCAATCACGTTATTAGTGCATTTTGAATGCTTGAGCAAAGGCCTGATCATCTGATCTTATTATTACTTTCATAGAATGTTACAGAAGAGATCTTGAAACCAGGAAGCTCTTTTTATCTCTCTGGAGATTACCCTTGTAGTCACAGACCTATACATGCATAAATACCCAAGGTCTTCAACACAATGAAGTTAGAGAAAGGAAGTGAAGATGTGAGAAGATAGCACTGGTACATGTAAACCAAGAGAAGGGAAGTTTGTGGAGAAAACAGAATCTTCCAGTCATTTTTTCAAAGCTACAAATATAAATACAATACATGTAATAGGGGAGAGGCAGGTTTACTTGAAGTAATATTTGATCACCTCCTACCAATAACTGTGTCATCAGCTCTCACTGTTTGACTTTGTAATTACAGGGATGCACAGTGCACTGGTCTCTTTAACTCTAAAAAGACATATTTCATAGTAAGACTGTTATGAATCCACACCAATGACTTCATTAAATGCTACTCCAGGAAACAGCCATGTATCAAATCATCACATTGGACACCTTAAATTTATAATGTTATGTATCAATTATATCTCAATAATGCTAGTGGGAAAATGCTATTCTAGGCTAAGAATTGGAGGCAAGGGGAGAGAGAAGAAAACTTGAGACTGTAAGAACCCAGAGAGGAATTTTCACTTTATGCATATATATAGAAATCAAAAGGTATAATTTATAGCTGAAATTCACAAGACTTCTATATACACAATGTTTCTGAAGTGATCATGTATATTACCTGATGTCGTTTGATTATATCTTTCAATTTGTTAGCCAACTTCAGATCAATGTCTGGAATGAGGTAGATGTTGGGTCTGGCCAGACAATTGCTCTGAGGGAAAAAGAAAACATTGTGAAATTCTCTTAGTTTTGAAATAATGTCATATTATTTATGCATTTATCTTAATGACAAAAGTTGGCACTCAAAGCTATACTGCTTAAAATAGGAAGACACACTTTGCTGCAGCATGTAAAAGCCTTATTTCAATACAAAACCTAGGTGGTTCAGCAGGCTACTTAATGCCATTCACTGATCAAAAAACTGCTAAGACTCATGACTTAGAGAAATTCATTATACTTTTCATTAAGGTATTATACCCTAGTCAATTTTACCTGGACTCAAGAGTCTAAGTCTCATGTAGCATTTTCACCTAACCTGGGGGTGGGAGTAGAGGGGGTACATGGGGAGGGATGCCCATTTTGGCTCATCATTTAAGTTACTTAAAATGTAAAAACTGAACTATAGCTCTTTCCCCCCATTTCTAATCTTATGAATAGCAATGACTGAAACATGAATATTAACTCCCCAAACCATCACCAAAAACTAGCCAAGATACAAAAACTGCTCAGTTATTTCTCTTAGTTAAGAGCCCATGAGAAGTTTCAGGAATCAAATCAATGATAATACCCAGCAGAATTGCCAGTCCCCTCTCCCCAGGAAGGTTAATTCAGTGATTATTAAAAATTACTTATCAGTAAAAACACTAAGAAAGAAAAGAAGAAAATTAAGTGTTCTCTTCTTCAAGTTATAATCTAGTTGGGGAAATAAGATTTCTATTTATGGCACAACCATGAAACAAATCCAAAGAAAATGACTGTATAAACAAATGACTACTAGGATGACAGAATGTTCATATTAAATATGAAAGATCTAAATAATGGATTAGTGAAATTACTAAAGAAAATATTATGATTTTACCATGTTTAAGAAAAATATTCTATAAATGACACAGTCATGACAGTCATATCTTATAGCTCTAATCTCCAAAACTCAAAAATAATAAAATAGATTTCAGGAAACTTTTTTCCCTTTGATCTCTGAGCTAGAATAAAGCCAATCTTAGAATTAAAAGCAAATTAAAGGAAAAAAGTTTTAACAAATTTTCTGAGTTACCTGAACCAATGTTTTTTCAATGTTCATAAACATTTCAACATTACGATCCATTCGGGATGGATTCTGCAGATCAAACCTCCGCCTGTAAGCAAAAAATCATTAGTTAATTTGTCTCCTACCTTAAACAAAAGTGAAAACTTGGTTTTAGTACCCAGTACAAATGAGCTCAAAAGATTTGGATATTAAAATAGCACTCTACAAAATGTTTAACATATTTTCTTGGCAGTGTGAGAAATCAGTGTCAACACCTTCATAAAACATTACATTTAATGATATTCAATCTGCTCCAGTCAAAATGAACTACCAAATTCAAGAGTCGTCCCCTGTTTTCTGTAAATCTAAGATATTTTACATCATATATAAAACTAATCCACAGATCCAAAGGCAGTGAATTACTATACCATTCTCCAAGTATATGTACAGTCTGTCTACTTTATATATGCTTAAAAGTCATCTGTTCAAAGTCAAGAGTGTCTGTAATGCTCTTAGAGCCTACTACTGTTCCAAATGGGGTAAAATGCATCTATTTACACTTCAAATCTTTCCCGAATGTTTCTTTATCTAAGTACCCAAGCATAACATGTTAATGTTGTCTTTACCTATCTTAGTCATCTCCAGAGATTCAGTTCAGTCACGTCCAACTCTCCGCAATCCCATGGACTGCAGCACGCCAGGCTTCCTTTCTCCATCACCAACTCCTGGAGCTTGCTCAAACTCATGTCCATTGAGTCGGTGATGCCATTCAACCATCTCATCCTCTGTCGTCCCCTTCTCCTCCCGCCTTCAATCTTTCCCAGCATCAGGGTCTGGAATTCCATCACCTACACTAGCTTTGTTCATAGTGATGATTCCTAAGGCCCACTTGACTTCACATCCAGGATGTCTGGCTCTAGGCGAGTGATCACACCATGGTGATTATCTGGATCATGAAGATCTTTTTTGTACAGTTCTTTTGTGTATTCTTGCCTCCTCCTCTTAGAATCTTCTGCTTCTGTTAGGTCCATACTGTTTCTGTCCTTTATTGTGCCTATCTTGGCATGAAGTGTTCCCTTGGTATCACTAATTTTCCTGAAGAGACTTCTAGTCTTTCCCATTCCATTGTTTTCTCCTAAATACTCTGGTTGGGATAAAGCCTTTTCTTCAGGAGGAAAAGGGGGCAACAGAGGATGAGATGGTTGGATGGCATCATCAACTCAATGGACACGAGTCTGAGCAAACTCTGGGGCTTAGTGACGAACAGGGAGGCCTGATGTGCTGCAGTCCAGGGGACCACAACAAGTCGGACACGACTGAATGGCTGAACAACAAGGACATAATACAATTCTACAAGACAACCTGTTCTTATTTTTTTTAAGAAGGAAGAGTGAGGAAGAAAATCAGAAATGTTTTAAGAGGCTTAAGAGTCAGGCTTCCCTGGTGGCTCAGTGGTGAAGAATTCAATCCCAATGAGGGAGACATGGGTTCAATCCCTGGTCCGTGAAGATCCCACACGCCGCGAACAACTAAGCCCATGCATCCCAATCACTAAGCCCGTGTTCTAGAGCCCGAGAGTCACAACTACAGAGCTGTGTGCCGCAACTAGAGAAAAGCCCACAGACCAACAGAGACCCAGCAGAGCCAAATGTTTAAAACTTATTCAAAAAAGAGACTTTTAAGAGAGTCATATGAACCAACTGTAGTGTATGAATCTTGTTTGGATACTGATTAAAACAAAATATAAAAAATCTTTGTGAAAATATCAGGGAAACAAACACTAAGTAGGTAGTATTTAACAATACTGAAAAATTACTGATAATTTTCTTGGCTAGGATAATGGTACTGTCATCATGCTTTCTTAAAATCTAATTTTTTTTGATCATGCCATGCAGCATGCAGGATCTTAATTCCTCAAACAGGGATTGAACCATGCCCCCTGCATTGGAAGTGCAAAGTCTTAACAACTGGACTGCCAAGAAAACCTCTAAAATCTAATTTTAGAAATAAATACACAAAAGTATTTACAGATGAAATTCTATAAAGCAGAAGATGCATGACTGGAAATACTTCACTATATTAATATTAGTCTTTCTTATGTATAATTTATATTTTCCATAATAATAAACCAAAATGGCTTGCCAAACAGTAATTTGATAACATGTCACATTAAAGCTTTTCTGAATCTACAGTATGATAAGTAAGCAAAAGTACATATATGAATATTAAGAAAAACTGAACAAAAGAAAACAGATAAATACAGTATAACTTTTACTTGAAAGATTTTATCTGACTTATTTTTAAATTAGCAAGAGTATTTAAACTTTACTTTTTAAATTATGCAAAGATGTTCAAACCTGCCCAAAAGGGAAATGTAAATTAAACTAAAATTATAAAACCTTCTTCAAAATAAAGTAAAATAAAACCTTTTTCAAATCTATCACAAATTACTAGGATGAAAAGATGTCAGTAATACAAATAAATACAACTGCTGGGCAGTGAAAGGGGTAAAGGTACACTCAATACATTCTGGTTGGACAATAAATCAGTACAATTTTGTTTGAAGATTTGCCAATTGTTTGTATAGGTTTCTTGTTATTTCAACCTGAGTATCTTAATTCCTTATGATCTCATCTGAGTCAGCAGCAGAATCAAGATGACAAGCCACTATTCAAGTGCCCAGCTGCGTTGACAGTTATTAAGATATGCACTGTTGGAACATAAGTGATCCACTCACTGCAAGTGTGTAAATCACAGGAGACAGGGGAAGGTGGGTACTGCAACTGATTTATAATTATACTTGAAAGAGGATAATTCTGCTACAATCTGAGAAGATTTGGAAAAACTATTACTCTTCATTCCTCTTAAAAAGTCTCTAACTCTATCCTTTACTTCTTTGTTGGCCCGATATTTAAGCCATAGATGATTTACTTTATGTAACCTTCTAAACCACCTGAAATCTTTTCAGATAAAAATATTTCATTGCAGTGATACACTAAATAAGCAAATTTCATAATGACTTAGGAAGGTCATTTCACTTTGAGACTCTGCCCTCAAGGGTCCAGGCTGGACTTGGGAGACACAAACTGAACAAGGAAACCAACAAAGGAAAGAGTTCCAACTGCGAATCTAGAGTGTGGACACAAACCACGTATGAGCACCCGGACACGCTGTCAATCCTGTTAACAAACCAGGGACTACTCTGGGAAGAGCGCACCACCAGAGCCGGAAAGAGAACTGAAAAACAGAAAGCTACCTCTGATGACAACAAACTCTCGTGCTCATTTAATCAACCAAATAATATCTATTAAACACCCACTCATATATATAAAGTTCTAGCAAATAAGATATATGTCTGTATCTCTTTCCACTTACCATAAATAAGTCATTTACTTATAAACTTGCCCTGATTATTGATGCAAATACTTCCTGGCATTTCTCAGTCATGAAGTACTAGATTAGCTTACTTTTTATGTTAAAAGACACAGATTACATGAGTATTCTCCTGGAAAGATGCTAAGATTATAAACCGCACAACACAACTAAAACCACCAAACAACTTCAATACACTTCAGCACCCTCCTAACCCCTAACCTCACCCCATCCTTGAAATAGAACCATCATCATTAAACACTCAATAGTCCTAACAGCTGAACTTCCCACACTGAGATGGAGAAAACCCTACAGTTCAAGAAAGAAAAGGAGGAAAGCATCAAGAAAAGACAGAGTGAGAAAGAAGAAAAGTAAGAGTAAAAGGAAAAGCAAAGTTGTAGGGAAAAAACCAGGAGGAATCCCCATCCTAGCTCCATCACTGCCCTCACAACTGCCTGCACTCCTCTGAGCCAGACTCCTTTCGTATTCTGAGGGGCGCAAGCTGGGTGACTCTTACTTGGAAGGCCTGGTCCACAGAACACTTAAAACTGTTATCTTTCGGCACACTGTAAGTTTATAATACACATTTATGTATTTCATAGTGACCCTACCTTCCGATTTGCTAATAATGTACATCCATCGATTATCTACATGCAACTATATATGAAAAATATCCTGCACAATAAATGTAACAGTTGTTTTGATATTTTTCTTGGCTGCAGGCACAAAAGTAAATTAGGGCCCTAGATAAAAGACAACCTACTTTGGGATATTGATCAAATATGCTTATAGAATTCTGTAACACCGTATCAAAGAGGAACAGGTTTAAGGTTGGAAAACTTACACACATCACAGCAAAACATGCACATAAAAACAAAAACTTACCACCCCTGCTCATTTTTGTATTTGTAAGCAGCCCCAAGAATGTGACACAAGGTGCCTCCAGCTTTGAAATCCATGAAACATTTTGCCTAAAAGATGATACAAGTTACACATGAGAAAAATAAAACTTCTGTCAATTACTCCTGTCTGAACTCTAAGATTTGTAAGTAAGTGCAAGATCATTTGTGTCTGACTCCTTGCAACCCCATGGGCAGTAGCACGCTCCTCTGTTCATGGAATTTCCAAGGCAAGTATACTGGAGTGGGTTGCTATTTCCTCCTAAAGGGGATCTTCCCAACCTAGGGACTGAACCGGCATCTCCTGTGTCTCCTGCATTAACAGGTGGATTCTTTACCACTGAGCCACCTGGGAAGTCTAAGTTTTATATAAACTCAAAGTTATAAACAACTACAACTCCTAATACAATAACTTCCTGGCTTTTTTGGAACAAACTGAAGTACAAAAAAATGTTTCTAGTTTTAAGTAAACAGTCTATGAAAAGAAAAGACTTACAAAAGATACATCAAATTGTTTCAGCATAAAACATTAATGGACAAATTAATGATATTACTACCAACTCCACTGGCAAATTTAAAATTCAATTTAAAAAACTAAATAAAATTCATATTTTAAAATGTACAATAAGAAACATCAAGCCAACTTCACTGATGAACACAGATGCAAAAATCATAAACAAAAGACTAGCAAACCAAATTCAACAGTACAGCAAGAAGATCATATACCATGATCAAGTGGGATTTATCTCAGAAACACGTGAGGGTTTTTCAATATCCACAAATGAATCAACATGATACACAATAACGAACTGCAGAAATCATATTATCATCCTAACAGATACAGAAAAAGCTTTTGATAAAATCCAACATCCATTTATGATTAAAAAACAAACAAAAAAAACTCTCCAGAAAGTGGGCACAAAGGGAACATATCTCAACATAATAAAGGCTATACATGACAAACCTACAGCTAATATCATACTCAATGGTAAAAAACTGAAAGCATTCCTTTAAAGATCAGGAACAAGACAAGGATACCCACTGATACCACTCTTCTTCAACATAGTCTTGCAAGTCCTAGACACAGCAGTCAGAGAAGGAAAAGAAATAAAAGGAATCCAAATTGGAAAGGAAGAAATAAAAACTATCTTTAGATGACATGATACTATACATAGAAAATCCTAAAGATGCTACCAGAAAGCTACTAGAGCTCATCAATGAATTTGGCAAAGGTGCAGAATGCAAAATTAATATACAGAAATCTGTTGCATTTCTATACATTAACAACAAAAGATCAGAAAGAGAAATTAAGGAAACAACCCAACTTACCATCGTAACAAAAGAGTAAAATACCCAGAAATAAACCTACCTAAAGAGGCAAAAAACTTGTACTCTGAAAACTGTAAGATGCTAACGAAAGAAACTGAAGATGACACCAGCAGATGAAAAGATATACTATGTTCTCAGTATTGTCAAAATGACATTACTACCCAAGGCAATCGAGAATCAATGAAATCCCTATCGAATTACCAATGATGTTTTTCACAGAACTGGAACAAAAAAATTTTTTACTTGTATGGAAAAACAAAAGACCCTAAACAGCCAAAATAATCTTAACAAAGAACAGATCTGGAGGGATCACAGTCCCTGACTTGAGATTATACTACGAAGTCACAGTAATTATAACAGTATAATACTGGTCCCAAAACAGACACACAGATCAACAGAACAGGACAGAAAGCCCAAAAGACAAACCTACGCACTTATGGTCAATTAATCTGTAACAAAGGAGGAAAGAATACACAATGGAGGAAAGACAGTCTCTTTAAGACTTGTGGACTCTGGGAGAAGGCGAGGGTGGGATGTTTCAAGAGAACAGCATTGAAACATGTATATTATCTAGGGTGAAACAGATCACCAGCCCAGGTTGGGTGCATGAGACAAGTGCTCGGGCCTGGTGCACTGGGAAGACCCAGAGGGATCGGGTGGAGAGGGAGGTGGGAGGGGGGACTGGGATGGGGAATACATGTAAATCCATGGCTAATTCATTTCAATGTATGACAAAAACTACTGTAATGATGTAAAGTAATTAGCTCCAACTAATAAAAATAAATGGAAGAAAAAAAAAAAACTTAACATTCAAAAAAAAAAAAAAGTGCTGCTGGGAAAACATGTAAAAGAATAAAATTAGATCATATTTAATTTGTAACATTATATACAAAAATAAACTGAGACTGGATTAAAGACTTAAATATAACACCAGTTATTACAAAACTCCTAGAGGAAAATATAGGCAGAACGCTCTTTGACATAAATCACAGCAATATTATTTTGGCTCCATCTCCTAGAGTAATGGAAACAAAAATAGACAAATGGGAAAAAAATAAACAAATGGGACCTAATTAAACTTAAAAGTTTTTGCACAGCAAAAAAAACCATAAGCAAAATGAAGACAACCAACAGAATGAGAGAAAATATTTACAAATGATGCAACTCAAACAAGGGATTAATTTCCAAAATAGACAAACAGCTTACATAGCATTTAAAAAACAACAAACCAACAATCCGATAAAAGAAAAAAATGGGCAGAAGATCTAAATAGACATTTCTCCAAAGAAGACACACAGGTGGGTGATAGGAAAATGAAAAGATCGCTAATATTAAAAGAAATGCAAATCAAATCAAGGAATAATGCTGAAGCTGAAACTCCAATACTTTGGCCACCTGATGCGAAGAGCTGGCTCACTAGAAAAGACCCGGATGCTGGGAAAGATTGAGCACAGGAGGAGAAGTGGTTGACAGAGGATGAGACGGTTGAATTACATCATTGATTCAATGGACATAAGTTTGAGCAAACTCTGGGAGACAGCGAAGACAGAAAAGCCTGGTGTGCTGCAGTCCATGGCGTCACAAAGAGTCGGACACAACTTAGTGAATGAACAACAACAAATCAAAACTACAATGAGGTATCACCTCAAGCTGGTTAGAATGGCCGTCCTCAAAAAGGTTACAAAAAATAAATGCTGGAGAGGATGTGGAGAGAAAGGAATCCTCCTATACTGTTGATGGGAATGTAAACTGGGGTAGTCACTATTGAGGTAAGGAGGTTTCTTAAAAAACAAAAAATAAAACTACCATATGATTGAGCAATCCCACTCCTGGGCATTATAAGAAAACCATAATTTGAAAAGATATATCACCCCAAGGTTCACTGCAGCACTATTAACAATAGCCAGGACATGGAAGCAACCTAAATGTCAATCAACAGAGCGATGGATAAAGATGTGGTGCATATACAGTGGAATATTACTCAGCTATAAAAAGGAATAAAATCATGCCATTTGAAGCAACATGGATAGACTTAGAAATTAGCATACTAAGTAAAAAAGTCAGACACAGAAAAACAAATATATCACTAATGTGTCAAATCTAAATTTTTAAAATGATATAAATGAACTTAAAAACAGATAACCAAAGAGGGCTTACTATAGCACAGGGACCCCTACTCAATATTCTATAATAACCTATATGGGAAAAGAATCCAAAAAAGAATGGATATATGTATAACTAAATCATTATGCTTTAAACCTGAGACTAACACAACACCGTAAATCAACTATATTTCAATACAATTTAAAAAAATGAAAAACATAAAAAAGCAGAATACAAAATCAACTGATTTTTCATGTTACAATTACATCTGTGTTATGTATGCATATGTACTAAAAGCCTTGAAGGAATTATGGAATAACAAGAAATTTTACTTATGGAGGTAAAAAAACATGAATTCATATCATGTTTGCTTGTGAAATACATTTTTAGCCTTACAAAGCACTTTTTCCCCCCTAAATCTTTCTAATTTTTCAGAATTAGATAGAACATATCCTATGTTGAGCCAGCTGTTTAACATCCAATAGGACTTACTGAAGTGACGTGAAAGTCACTCAGTCATGTCCAACTCTTTGAGACTCCGTGGACTAGGACCCACCAGGCTCTCCTTTGTCCTGTGGATTTCCCAAGCAAGAATACTGGAGTGGGTTGCCATTTTCTCCTCCAGGGGATCTTCCCAACCCAGGGATTGAACCCAGGTCTCCTGCACTGGAGACAGACTCTTTACCATGTGAGCCCCCAGAGAAGCCCTTAACATGACTTAGGAAGCTAGTAAACAAAAAGTTCTAGTTTGATTAAAAAAAAAAACAGCCCAAATAGTGAACTCTTACTCCAGTACTATTCATTCAGGAAAAAAACTTTTTAAGGTAAATAATTTACAAGTTTCACTGAAACATTGTCTGCTTTACTGTCTCTTTCCTTCAGTTTTGTTTTACACCATTACGCCTTTTTTTTTTTCCATTATGCCTTATTGTATCAATCCCTTTCATTTGGGAAAAAGCTAAACACTATTTGGAAAGAAAAAGAAGTAAATCTGATTCCTCTACCAGTAAACTATGAATTATTTTTAAGTACGGCTTATGCCTAAAAATATTCTCTTTAAAATCTTTAAAATTCAGAAAAATTATAATGGATTAGTTCCCAGGAGTTAAATATTCCCCAAATAAACCCTCTTGTAAACACTATTTTCCAAGACACTCATATAACCCTAATTAGGAATACCAATATAATGCAAATCACCTTACATAAAATACTTCATATAATGCTACATGTAAATTTTATTCTAAATGATTTTATACCTGATAAAATATAAACTATAAGTATTATATTATAGTGTTTTAAATGATAAAAACTTCAACCAGTTCCTGATTTGATCATTCTAATCTAGTTGATAATGTAAAAGAACAGGAAGTAAACACTCAAGTATCTGGAGGTAAAGGAACAAGGAATTTTCAGATGATTCAGAATATGCACAAACACGTAGAAAAAAACAGTGATAAAGCAAACATGGCAAAATGCTAAAAACTGAGGATTCTAAATGAAGGGAAATGAAAGTACTTTGCACTATTCTTGCAAATGTTTACTTTCAACTAATTTTAAGCTTATAAAAGTTACCCCCGAAACCTCAATCTGCCATAGTACAGAAAATAAAATATGCTCATTATTCAGCTGAATAGCTCCCATTTGTCAAAAATGAGCAAGTACCTCCAATATCTAAACATGTATGCTCTTGCTCTACCAATGTGAATTCAACCAGCACCCAGTAACTCTCAAATGTCTTCCTCTAATTCAACCTTTTCTCTAAAACTTCAGATCTCATTTCCAACTACCTACAGATTTCAAAATCAGAGATGCCCTACAGGAGAGCCAACTTCAAACAGACTAAACTGGGTACCTTTCTCCAGAAACCTACTTTTGTCCTGTCGCTTTCACCTTAGTGCTAAAGGAATCGGCTCAGTGCAGTCATCCCAGGCAATTCTTTCTTATTTTAGCCCCACAACCCATCCTCCCACCAAAAACAAACGAACAAAAAACCCCACAAAGTTCTACCCCCTCTCACTATTTCAACTCCTTTCTATTCTGACTACAGCTCACTTGGATTATGAGAGCAGCTTCTTCATGGAGAGAGAGACTTCAAAGCCTCCAATCTGAAGGCTTCCAATTCATTCTTCATATCAAAGCCTGCAGGGTTATCATAAAACCCAAAATTGATTAACCCACCTCTACTCTCCCCTGTGCTCTGGTTCCCAACCACTTTCAAGTAAAAGTCACACTTCTATCCTTTTATGACTGATTCTGGCCCATCTCTCTGCCTACTGTCCTCAGTTCTAACCCTGTTGAACTATCTGAAACCACATTAAAGTGCCAAAATTTTCTCAGGCCTTTAGGGTCTTACAAATTGCTCTCATTGCTTGAAAAGCTCATCTTCCAGCATGTTGCTGAAGAACTCATACTCTACTTTCAGGACTCAGTTCAAATGTCCTTTCCCTGGGAAAACATTTCCTGAGACCAAAGGCTCTATTTATACATCTCAAAGAAAGAGTGGAAGTAAGCCCCTTGAGGACAAACAATACACTGCATTACTCCTTGAATTCTCAGAACTTGGCACATACTCAAATGCTTAATATTTGCTGAACTCAAATCAGTGGGGGTAGGCAGTACCCTTTAATAAATGTTGTTGGGTTAACCAGGTGATCATATGGAAAAAGATAAAACTGGATCCCTTGCTCACAATGAATACCAAGATAAATTCTATATGGCTAACCCACGCCATACAAATAATACAAGAATGCATGGCTAAAACCTTTTATCACCTATGAGTGGAGAAAGAATCCTAACATGATTCATAAAACCACATCCACTTATTTGACTTAATGAAAATAAATGTCTGGGTGGCAAAAATATCATAAGCAAAGCAGACAGATTAATTCCAAGGTCAGTAAAATAATATTTTTTATTCCCACTTATATCTGAGAGATCAGTGAGTTATTAAAACAAAAAGGTTAATGATGAAATAAGAACACACAAACCGGAAGCTTTCGATATTAAAAAAAAAAAGTCTACCAATAATAAATTCAGTAGAGGCAACAGATAGACTGGAAACTACAAAAACCCAAACGAGAGAATTGGAAGACAAAAATTACAGGAAAATATGACAGGTAGTTCCCAGAAATCTCGTATTTGTACAATCAGAGTTCAGAAATATAAAGAAATACAGACAAGCAGAGAAGACTAATAAACCGAATGTTCCCAGAGGTGAAGAAACGTAACTGAGTCTTCAGATCATGACTTATGAGAACTATAAATATTTATGAATTTTAAAGATCAGTACGAAAAAGGGATAATCAAAAGGTAGTATCAGATTTTTCTGTACAAAATCAAATGTTTAAGAAAGAACAAAACCTACAAATTTAAAAAAGAAATAAAACATGACCAATTTCTACACCAAGTCTAACCTCTAGTCAAAATACCAACTTCAAGGGGAACAGAATCATATTCTCACATAAGCTCAGAAGAATCTAATGGACAAAAAAAAAGAAATTTCAGAAAACAGCATTCTAGCCACAAGAACTGAATCAGGAGGAAAAAAAGGAAAAGACTTAGTAAAGACAATAAAGAAATTACAACATAGTAAAATGTTAACAGGTAAGTCTAGGTAATAACTATTGTGCTGTTTAATGCCAATGTTAAATGACTCCTGAAAGAGATGCTTCTTATAGTTCAAAAGCAGTAACATTCTACAGCAAAAATTCTGTAGAGATTCCTCCTTTTTCCTATTCTGTACAATAGCAGCAGCAAAATAAACAGCTGCAGGCTGCACTCAAGAGTACAGAAACAGAAGCTGTCCCAGTGTGAGAAGCTGATGTACTTACCGGGAGCTTGGTAAAGGCCGGGTTGGTGACATGCTTCCCAAAGGCATCTTCCTGGAACTGAAGAAGCTGTACCACCAGCCCAGCCAGTGTTTTATTGGTAGGAGCATCCGTGTGAACATACTGCAAGATAAAGACAAAGACTCAAAAACTGGGACAACTGTGCAGAAGACAATGTTATTAGCTTACTTCCTAGTACCTAAGCACTGGCCTGGTGGCAGATTTTAAGTGTCTGAGACACTTCTATAAACAAACATTGGGGGCAGTGGGCTGAATAAATAAAACACCCTTTTAGGGAACAGATCTTAAGGATGTTCAAGAAACCAAACCCAAATCATCTCATCCCCACCTGGATGGTGAGATCCCGGATCTCAAAATTGAGCCTGACGCTATAAGGGAATGAGAACTATTGGCCACTGAATTTTGTATGTGGCCAGAGAACCGACTGTGTTAAAAAAGTTTTTCAAACTAATCCACAAACTCTGATGCTCCTCTCATCTAGAAGTGGGGATCTATGTCCTCTTCTATTTAATCAGACCATCCTTAGGGACTCACTGAAAACCAATCAGCATGCAAGAGAAGTGATGCTGTGTGACTTCCGAGGATAAATCAAAAAAGATCAGACAGTTTTGCTTCCAAGTAGTTCTTTTGGGACACCCACCTTTAGAGCCCTGAACAGCAACAAAGCTGTCCAACCACCCTGACACCACCACACAGGAAGCCCAGGCTACCCAGAGAGGTCACATGAAGAGGTCCCAGCTGATATCCCAGAAGACTGACAGTATAACCATGAGACACATGAGTAAAGGAGATTCCAGGTGATTCTGGTCCCCAGCTGTTAAGTCACCTTCAATCATCAAACCTCCCCAGTCAAGGGCCCAGACACCACTGAGCAGAAACAGTCACCCCGAACATGCCCATCCAAATTCCAGACACACGGGAACTCTTAAGCACAATAAAATGGTTGTTTTCACGCACTAAAGAAAAATACACATGTGTGGGCACTTAAAAATGGTTACGATGGTAAGCTTTACAAGTTTTTGGCCAAAATAAGAATCTTTTTAAACAAATGTACATGAAAAGTTATCCATGCTGATGTGCGTCATGTCACAAAGGGCAAACCCATGGCAGACAGCAAGTGAACAGCACAGCAAGCAGAGAGAGAGAGTACATGACGGGAAAAGCATAAACTAGAGAGTTCAATTAAGTGTAGAGTTTAATTTAGTATTCAGCATTCAGTATCACTTAGAAAGACCATCAAATTTTTTTTTTAAACCGCCAATTCTATGGGGAACACATGTAAATCCATGGCTGATTCAAGTCAATGTATGGCAAAAACCACTATAATACTATAAAGCAATTAGCCTCCAACTAATAAAAATAAATGAAAAAAAAAAATAAATAAACCGCCAATTCTGAGCAGGAAAACACATCTATACTTCCACTAAAAAAAAACAACAACACTATTTCTCCTTCTGGAAAAACCTCTTTCCCAGTACCACCCCACATGTCAAAATTAATGTTTCTACTGCAGTAATGTCTGATACCTATACAGCAAAATGTCAGCTGTATCATCTACTGTTAGTTACAATGCCTTAAGTTGACTGGTTCTCAATATGTGTTGCTGCTAAGTCACTTCAGTCATGTTCGACTCTGTGCGACCCCACAGACAGCAGCCCACCAGGCTCCCCCGTCCCTGGGATTCTCTAGGCAAGAACACTGGAGTGGGTTGCCATTTCCTTCTCCAATGCATCAAAGTGAAAAGTGAAAGTGAAGTCGCTCAGTCGTGTCTGACTCTGCGACCCCACGGACTGCAGTCTACCAGGCTCCTCCGTCCATGGGATTTTCCAGACAAGAGTACTGGAGTGGGCTGCCACTGCATTTGCTGCCAATCAAAGAGAGAGCATAATATATTAACAAGAGGGCAGGCAATTCTTTTTAAAGCTTAGTATCCTCTCACACTTTTATTTGTTCAAGTATACTAGCTTTCCTCTCTACATGGAACAGCCAGCATAAGTTAAATTTTGCCAAAGGTTGGTATTTTGTTGGAATGCTTTGTTTTACACGAAACCCTCTAGACCAAAGGTTGGTAAAATCCAGCCCACTGCCTATTTCTGTGTGGCCCACAAGCTAAGAATGGCTTAACATTTTTAAATGCTTGGGAGAAGTTTTAAGAATATTTCATGACACACGAATATTATATAAAATCCAAATGTCAGGGTCCATAAACAGCTTTATGAAAACACTGCACACTCATTCATTTGCACTCCAACAGCAGAGCCAAGCAGTTGCCGCTGAGACTGCATGGTCTGCAAAGCCTCAATATTTACTCTCTTGCCCTTTTATAGAAAAAGTCTGCCTATCCTTGTTCTAAACTACACCTTTTTATCCTTACAAATAGCTTCCTTTTATATCAAAGGTGTTCTGTAAAACCACATTTCCATAAGACTATGAAGTGAAACGTTTGTCAGACATAAGCCAAAAACTAGAAACCCGTTTCATACATTAAGCACCTATGATGTCAAATCTATTAGTATAAAATAATGGTTCTTAAGTTTTAGCCCTACTCCCAGTCAGGTTCAAGAATCTGCATTCGTAACAAGTTTCCATGCGACAGCATGGGAATGGGCACTACACTGTAAGAACCACTGGGCTTTCAAAAAAAAATCCACTTCAAATATTGTTATATGTCATGTATCTCAGTTAAAGAACACATTTATTATAATCTAAAAGTTAAAAAACTAGGTAAGCAATTTTTAAATGTTAAAAATTACTTACAATTCCCCTTTCCTACAATACCAATTCCCACAAAAACCATCAAGTTTAATTTTCTGAGGACTACTGTTAAACAGAGCAAATCTTTAATGAAGAATACTCAATTATGACAGTAATACTGAAAGTAGGATAATCTTTAATAAAGAATAAACTCTTCAAGTGTAACCCACAGAACTGGCAAAGTATGTTGTACATACTCACAAGGTAACTTTACAATCTTTAATAAGTACAAGCTTCCAAGGGATCTTATAACGTATTGCAGGTTTTTAGCATATAGTAAAGCAAAATGAAAAATTAATACCTGCAGACAACTGAACAGTATCAAATCCTAAAACTGAAAAAGGCACCATCTGGAGGAAGGTTGTTCAGCTAAAACCAAATCAACCCTTTAGGCAAAAATGAATTGTTAATGACCTATACACACAGCTTTGTATGTATTCTAAACTTCACCACTATCTACAGATGTGTCATTTAACATACCGTCATTCAAAATGAGAAAGATTTCACGTGGACAACCCTACAGTTTCAGAATAAAGACAGCAGGTTCAAAGCTCAATCAAAATTATTACCTTAGGTATACTAAAATTCAATTTTTAAACTATATTTTTTAACTGTTTACTTTATCAAATCACTCACAAAAATTATCAAACATGAAAATACACGTAAAAGATGACATTTTTAACTCATAAATTTGACATTTACGTATTATGTAAACTATACTCATACCCTCTCAAAAGGCAGGGTATGACTATTGTAAGATTTGAAAATCAACTTTTAAAAATTTCAAAGAGTAACATTCTATTTAAGCAATCAGAGGGATCAAAAGATATACGGCAAAAGTATCACTAGTATCTCAAATTTATATAATCCTATTCAAGGACTATCTCATTTGATTCAAAACAACAGGCTACAAGAGTTACAAATGAGCAAGTGAAACATGGAAATCAACTGATCTGCTCAATGACATCAATTAGTGGCCAAAAGTACTGAACTCACATTTACCAATCCAATGTAATGCTCATTCTACTATCCCACGTTGACAGTTCAACTCCTCCCCAAAATCTCACCTAAACATAAAAAGATCCTAATAGTTTTCAAGATAATAAAAATCCTGATTAAAGGTGTTTTATCACCTTTATTAAAGGTGCTTATTAAATGTGTTTTAAAGGGGGAAAATTTAATGATTATATAAGACAACTTCATAAAAATTTTATTTTTAATAAAAAAAAAGTTCAACAGCATGTTTTACTTACGACAACAACAAAAAACCTTATAGTCTCAAAGTTTTAAGAAAATTAGGAAAATATGCTTAGAAAGCTGTATCAATAAATCTGCTTTATATTCCCTGTGACATTAATAACATATTAAAAGTTTAACTTATCCCTAAATAATTCTATTGCAGCAGATGATGTCCCATATGAAAAAAACAACTGTCTTAACCTGTTATAAAGGGCATGGAAATATCTTTCTTGGGCAATCCAGTCTGTTTTCGTGATCATGGTTAAATCTAAAGCATCTTTATTTAAATCATCCTGAAATCTTTAATTTCAGGAGTGAGCCAAACTTTGGGAAGAAACTTCCCTGGGAACCGAATGGCTTACAGATCCACTTCACCTTCTCAAGGAGTTATCATCTGAAAACCACCCTCAACTATGGACAGAGACGTACCTTTCAGTGTTACGGACACACGATACAAGGCAGGCAGCTCAGGCAGATAACCAGCTTCTGTGCTGCTGCAGTGGGCTGGAAGTGCAACCTTGGGCAGTTTCCACTTCCCTAGACTGGTCACCTCCTCTAGGTCCTTTGGCAAGTAGAAACTCATCCCAGTCCACAAGTATTTACTCTCCTTTCTGTAATGCTAAGGCAAATGTATCAACAAAACTACAATAAATAGGTTTCTAGAGGTTTCTACCCTAATTAATCTGTTCATTCATGGAACAAAGATTTATTGAGCACCTTCTATGGACATTCAGAAGACAAAAACAATACAAGGGAACTCTCTTTTAATTTGAAATCAACTGGCTTTTACAGGCAGGTGCCAGTGTCTATCTTTTCCACAACACCGTGAGTTTCTTAAAGAGAAGAATCACGAATAGCAAAAAGAAAAAAGGGGGGGGGGGGGGGTTGGAGCTGGAGCCAGGTGGACCTTCTCTGAATTCCAAATTTGTGACTCCTAACTGTAATTCTTATAGAAGTTACTTAAACCTGAGGTCTCAGGTTTCTCTCATGGGGAAAATAAAGTAAATAATATCTATCATACAGGACCACTGTGAGGATTTAAGCAAGTTATGTTTTAAATGCCCGGATAAAGGGGATGCTCAAGCTGTCCTCATAGTGCATGCATAAACCCATCAATAAAAATGCTACTATCAATGTCATGTCTATTTCATTTGTTTGTTGAGATTTATTAATTTGAAAATACAGTATTAAATGCAACACAAAAGTTAAGTTAAAAGTCATCAATGTGTACACCAAGGAGAGATATAGTGTGTATGGAAGAAGCAAAGAACGTTCTTGTAAATATTTTTACCACATCAACACCACTCTCAGAGGCTGATAGGATTCTGACTATCAGGTCCAAGGATAGTCCAGGGATATGCAATTCTGAATCTGAACAGGACTAAGAAATACATTCCAGTTTTATGAAACACTGAGAGGTCAAATGTAACTTTAACTCTGTCTTCAAAGCCTCAGGGACAGGGAGCCAGCATTAGCCTACTGGCTTCAATCCTCTGGGACAAATCTTGCAATCAGGCTCACAGCCACTTCCTCATCCACCCAAACCCAGCTCTGAAAGACTATCCAACCCTAAAGCTGCCCTCTGAAAACTGGGCCAAAAGAGATGCTGTCTGGAAAGGTAGAAATAACTATCACTGTACTTCCTTTCTTCTATTCCCTTCCTTGCTATCCAAAGGAATATTCCTCCTGAGTATCTCTTTGTTAAAGCTACAGTGATAAAGTAATACAGTATTATATGTCAATTTTATCTCGATAAAACTGGGGTAAACAATCCAGCCTTGGGATTCCCTGATGGTCTAGTGGTTAAGAATCCACCTTGCAACATTGGGACATCAGTTTGATCCCTAGTCCAGGAAGATCCCACATGCTGCGGGGCAACTAGGCCCCATGCCACAACAACTGAGCCTGTGCTCTGGAGTCCATATGCAGCAGCTACTGAAGCCCTGAGCACCCTAGAGCCTGTACTCCACAACAAGAGGAGCCACTGCAATGAGAAGCCCACACGAAGAGTAGCCCCCGCTCCTTGAAACGACAGAAAGTCTGCACACAACAACAAACACCCAGTGCAGCCAAAAAATTAACTAATTAAAAAAAAAAAAAAAAAATCCAGCCTGGGAGGAAAAACACATTAAGGTATATTAAGACCCAAAATACTGCCTGAAGGGCACGTGATAAACAATAATTTCATAATATAAACGTATTCCATTTCCTTAGCTACTACCATAAGCGTTATTGTTTACACACACAAAAAGACCCATTTACCAATGTACAAGGGAAAACACTATTGTCCACTTGCATATAAATGAGGAAAATCTACAATCTCAAATGTGACTCTAAAATTCCTGGGAGAATAAAGTCAAAGCAACAAAAAATATATTGTAAATAAGAATATGTCACCTCTCACTTTCTAAAAACTGATGTGTGTGTTGTGCACTTAGTCGCTCAGCCGTGTCTGACTCTTTGTGACCCCATGGACTGTAGCCCACCAGGATCCTCTGTAGTTGATATTGCTATCATGGATCCATATGCTATCATGGAGAATCCGCATTCTCCAGGCAAGAATACTGGAGTTGGTTGCCAACCCCGCCTCCACGGGATCTTCCCAACCCAGGGATCAAATCCAGGTCTCCCACATTGCACGGGGATTCTTTACTATCTGAACCACCAGGGAAGCCCAAAACTTTAGATAAGAAATGGTGATTTCTGAAAGTACAGTGGAGTATCAGAGGAACCCAAGACCCCTGCCCATGCCTAACAACGTCCAAAAGCTGATGAGTTTCACAGCACTGTAGACCCGAAACTTAAAGTAGGTTTCTAGACTGCTTTATCTTTTCATTCATTCAACAAATATTTACTAAGCAACTACTAAGGGTCAGGCAATGAGGATCAAAAATGTTCCAGGACACACTACAGTGAACAGGCCAAACAACCTCCTAGCTCCAGGGCGATGGTCCACAACGGAGGAAGCAGAGAACTGTGAAGGGTGTTCAGGAAATTCTGGGACACAGAGAGTAATTTTTTCTTTTTTTGGCAGTCGGCTTCCTTACACTTTCTAAGGGGTTCAGTCATTCCTAAATAAGTTATACAAACGGGAAGCTAAAAAAGTTGTTATAAACATGGGACTAAGTCACAACTTTCAGTACCAATGACTCAGTCCAACTAACACTGCAACGGCAGGACAAGCAGGTAAATGAAAATAATCCCAAAAAACGATATGAAGGAAACAAAGGTGATATAAAGTGGGGTGACCTAACACGAACGGGGTTCTCAGGGAAGCCCTCACATTAGCTACAAGTCAATATTAACTCTTGCACTCCCACTATACACAAGCAGAGAGAACTGTGACGTAAAAGCCGTCGTCTTTTTAATATTAGTGAGTTCCCATGAACACTGTAATCCATTATATTAACCTGCGGTTACCGACGTCCGAGTACAGCGGTCCACGGTCTTCTTTAGCATATCAACTACAGGTTTAAGAAAACCTTGGTTACCTCACTGGACTTTGAAGACTAATCTCTTAAACAAAACTTGCCTCGGCCCTTACAGCTCGGCTCAGGCAGTTTTAATAACCACTGTTCACACACCTAAAGCGGCTAACAAAGAGGAAGAGTCACACCCTCAGGGTCACGGAGCCCGACCCGCTCCCTCACAAGCGCGGGCAGGGGCTTTCGCCCGGGCTCCCAGGAGCGGCGTGAAGCCCGGCCCCGCCTCTTCTCGGGACCGGCGCCCTAACCGACGAGGGCACGCGCACACGCATGCGCAGCACTCGCGCCGGGCGGGCCTAGGACGAGCCTCTCCACCCGCCTCTTCCGCCTGCACCGCAGACTACTCATCCACTCCACCTGACAGCTTGGGCTTCCGTGCGTGTGGCTGTTTCCCCGGTACCTGCGTTGAATCGTTATGTAATCTACAGCTGCACGGTGGTTCTGTGTCACCGTCTGCCACCGCCGGGAAGAAAGGAGCTGGTGTGAGATGTTCCGAGAGGAGAGCGCGTTTCGAGTGTCGCGTGCCAGGAGGGGAACCGCACGCCGGGTGGGAATCTGCGCCTGTCCCCGCTTGCCCTCAGACCTTGTACACGTAGTGACCCTGTCGTCCTTTGTAAGCATCCATCTGGGACCCACCACCTTCGGCTTCACACACCTTCCTCCCCCTCATGGCTCCAGCTACACCAGCTCCTTCCTGCCTTGGGCCGCTTGCAACAGCTATTCCCGCGACCTGGACCCCTCTTCCCCTCTGATTGTCACTTGTGAAGTGAAAGTCGCTCAGTCGTGTCCGACTCCTTGCGACCCTATTCCAGCCAGAAATACTGGAGTGGGTAGCCTTTCCCTTCTTCAGAGGATCTTCCTAAACCAGAGATCAAACCCAGGTCTCCCGCATTGCAGGCGGATTCTCTACCAGCTGAGCCACCAGGGAAGGCCAAGAATACTGGAGTGGGGAGCCTATCCCTTCTCCAGCGGACCTTCCCGACCCAGGAATCAGACCCGGGTCTCCTGCATTGCAGGCGATTCTTTACCAACTGACGCTTTCAAAATCATAGCTTAAAAGTACTTCAGAAAAGTAATTCCACCTGACCTTGCAGTCTTGAACAATCATACTAGCTCGACATTGTCGGGGTAGGACTCACCATGACTTGGTATTTTTCTTATTTTCTTACTTTCCACATAAATTACATGAGAGCTAGTCTTGCTCACAGGTGTAGCCTCAGTGCTGAGAAGGCCTGTTTCCCAACAGATGTTCAATAAATATTTGATGAATGAATGAATGATCTATAGGGAGGCAGAAGAGTTTTAAATTATTAACGAAGTGTGATTGGCCATTATGGAGTTTTGAACATAATGCTCTCTGACCCCAGAACAGAAAGTGACAAGCTGCTTGTGAGTTTTCCGACCAGCCTTTAAAGAAAAAAAGAGAATGTGATCGGGGAGGAAGGGAGATTGCAAACACGTGAGGAAAAAAACTGGAACAAAGGCTTTAAAGTGTGAAAGCATGCTTGGTGAAACTCCTTAAGCCCATGGACTGGAAGCAAAGATGTTACTTGGGGTGGCAGTGAATTTTGAATAGCCTGTAAGCACTGGAATACCAGCTTGAAGACACAGAACGACATGGTCAGATTTATAGATTAGAAAGTAGCTACTGCAGTATTGTGAATGATAGAATAGAGAAAGAAAGCCTGGAGAAAATGCATGGACAACAAAAGAAAAAATAAATTGGACTTCATCCAAATTACAATCTTTGGTGCTTCAAAATACACTGACAAGAAAATGAAAAAAACCAACTGAATGCGAAAAAAACACTTGCAAATTATAAACCTGATGAGATATATTCAGAGAATAGGGGAAAAAAAAACTTACAACTCGATAATGAAAAACAGCAAGATCCAGTTTGACAAATTAACTAATAACCAAATGGCATAAACTTAGTACATGGCAACATTATGGATGAATCTCCAGATATTATACAGAGTTAAATAAATCTTACCTGGAAGGATATATACAGGATGATTCAATATATATGAAGTTATCAGCTCAGTTCAGCTCAGTTCAGTTGCTCAGTCGTGTCTGACTCTCTGCGACCCCATGAATCGCAGCACGCCAGGACTCCCTGTCCATCACCAGCTCCTGGAGTCCACTCAAACTCATGCCCATCGAGTTAGTGATGCCATCCAGCCAGAACAATATTCAAAGTAGGGTTCCCTCTGGGGAAGTACAGGGGAAGGAGGGACATGAGGGAATTTCCTGGGGGTGATAATAAGTTGATTTGAAATAGATTTGCATTACACAGATGTATGCACACCAGTTGTGGAAGGGTAAAATTTGTGCATTTTACTATAAATTTCCCCTCAGGAAAAAGAACACTAAAGATATACTGAACTCTTGTTCAAAATATGCATGCTAAAGTGTTCAGTGGTGAACTGTATCTTTCACCTAGCTCTCCAAGCTACACACTAAATTCACACAGTGATATATCAAAAAATATTTTTATTGCTCAATAAGTGAAGAGTTGATTAGGTTTCTTCAGTTTTGAAGAAAAAAGAATTTTGAAAAGAAGTGGAAATTACATAATGGTTTGCCTGTTGTTAGAGTCATTAGCCTTCTCAGTTTCTGGGAAGGATACCAAAAAGCCTTCGCTAAGATGTATCAAACAGTACAGTTTAGCAAATATTTTCTTTTAATTTTAAAAAATTAAAAAAATTTTTTCCCATTTTCTTTGCTTTTCAAACCCTTGTATTGAGGGCTGACATTCAATAGACTGCAGTGAGGGAGCTGCTCTGCTATTTATGAAACCCTAACCCAGAAGCAAGTCGTCTATGAATGGTTTAGCACCAGGTTCCCCACAAACGAACGTCAGGTGCGATGGGTGAGGGGGTGGCCACCTTTCAGGTTTAGCAAATATTTTCTATAAAGGGTCAGATAACAAATATTTTAGGTTTGCGGGCCATATGTTCTCTGTGACAACTACTGAGCCCTACCATTGTACCACAAAAGCTGCTATAGGCAATACATAAATGAGTGAGCATGGCTATATTCTAACAAAATTTTATTCACAAAAACAGGTGGTAGACAAGAGTTTTTGTTTGGGTTGATGAAAGACTTCAGGAGATGGATGGTAGTGATGGTTGTACAACACTGTGGTTGTACTTAATGTCACTAAATTGTGTACCCAAAAGTGGATAAAATGGTAAATTTTATTATATATTTACCACGAAAAAAAGAAATTTTTTTAAGCACAGTGGCAAGCCAGATTGAGTCTGCGCTGTATTTTGTTAAAGACTCCTGACAAAGACTAATATACATATTACCTTTAGCTTAGAAGCATCTCCATTAAGTCAACTTACTCAGATATGCTTGAGAATATTACAGTATTGCTTAAAAGCGCTTCATCAAGCTTTTATTTTACTAGAGGATTAGGTATATTGGTATATTAGGTATACTAAAGATTAGGTATATGATCATCTAGACCTCAGAGCCACAAATTTAGCTCATGTTGTTTATGTGAAATGTCTGTCATATTACCTAATTGACAAAGTCAGTCTCATTGTCAACTCAGTTGGGAAAAAAATTGTTTTTGTCAAAAAAAAATTTACTTCATTTTTCAATTCAAATAAATGTGTTAATATTTAAGTTGAGAAATAATATAAAAGCTCTGAGGAATAGGTTATGTAACATTTTATTAGACCGTTTCTAAAAGCAGTCTGGTCAACACTGAAACAATTATTTCAAAAACCTTCCAACAAAAAGAAACTAAGAAAAGAGAGATTAAAACAAAACAAAACCAAAAACTCCCAACAAAGAAAAGCCTAAAAAAAAGGAAAAAAGAAAAGCCTAGACATTTTGATGGCTTCAATGGTGAACTCTACTAAACATTTAAAGGACAACTAATATTAACCCTCCTCAAACGTTCCCCAAAAAACTGAAGGGAAGGAACACCTCTAGACTCATTCTATGAGTCCAGCATTAACTTGATCCCCAAAACAGATAAGGTTACTACAATAAATATCACTTATGAACACTGATGAAAAAATCCTAAACTAAATACTGGCAAATGAAATTCAGCAGTATATTACAAGGATTATACACCATGGGAGATTTATTCCTGGAATGCAAGGTGCTTCAGCATACAGAAATCAATCAATGTAATACACCACATTAAGAAAATAAAGGGAAAAAAACACATGATCATCTCTATGCTGCTGCTGCCGCTAAGTCGCTGCAGTCGTGTCCGACTCTGTATGACCCCATTGATGGCAGCCCACCAGGCTCCCCCGTCCCTGGGATTCTCCAGGCAAGAACACTGGAGTGGGTTGCCATTTCCTTCTCCAATGCATGAAAGTGAAAAGTGAAAGTGAAGTCGCTCAGTCGTGTCCAACTCTTCAAAACCCCATGGACTGCAGCCTACCAGGCTCCTCTGTCCATGGGCTTTTCCAGGCAAGAGTACTGGAGTGGGGTGCAATTGCCTTCTCTGATTATCTCTATAGATGCAGAAAAATCATTTGACATAATTGAACACATTTTCATGATTAAAAAAATGCACACACTCAACAAACTAGGAATAGAAGGAAACTATCTCAGTATTAAATATAATAAAAACCATGTAAGAGAAGGCTACAGTGAATATCATACTCAATGGTGAATGAACGTTTTCCTCTAAGATCAAGAGAAAGGTAGAGATGCCTGCTTTCACCACTTGTATTCAACATAGTACTGGAAGTTCTAGTCAGAACAATTAGTCAAGAAAAAGAAAAAGCATCCAAATTTAAGAGAGAAATAAGATATTTCTGTTTGCAGGTGATATGATTGTATACATAGAAAACCCTAAAGATTCTATTTTTAAAAATCTTGTATGACTAATACATGATTTCATTAAGGTAGCAGGATGCAAAATCAACACACAAAAAATCAGTGGCATTTCTGTATATGAATAATGAGCAATCTAAAAAGGAAATTACAACAATTTCATTTCCAATGGAACCAAAAACAATAAAACACTTAGGAATTAACCAAGCAGGTAAAATAATTATACAATGAAAACTATAAAATATTGCTGAGAGAAATTAAAACACAAATGGAAACATATTCCTTGTTCATAGATGGAAGACCTAATAATTTTAAAATATCAGCACTACCCAAAGAAATCTATAGATTCAATACAAGCTCTATTAAAATCCCAGGGATGTTTTTTGAAGGAATACAAAAACCTATACTAAACACAATTTTATCAATAGAATGTAAAATTAAAAAGAAAAAGAAAACCAAAAAATGTTGAAAAAAAAGAACAAAGTTGGAGAAATCAACTTCCTGAATTCAAAACTAATCAAAGCACTATAGTACTGGCACTAAGACAGACATATAGATCAATGGAAAGAATAGAAAGCCCAGGAACAAACTTTGCATGTAGGGTCAAGTGATCTTTTGATAAGCGTGCCAAGACCTTTCAATGGGGAAAGTGCAATCTTTTCAACAATTGGGACTGGTTAAACCAGATTAACTATATGCAAAAGAATGAAGTTGGACCCTTACCTCACACTATATACAAAAATTAATTCACAATGGGTCAAAAACCTCAGTGTCAGAAATAAAACTATTACTAGGAGAAAACACAGGGTAAAAACTTCATGACTGGATTTGACAATGATTTCTTAGATATGACACCAAAGGCAATGATTTCTTGAATGTGACATCAGAGGCACAGGCAACAAAAGAAAAAGTAGACAAACTGGACTTAATGAAAAATTTTAAAATTCTGCATCAAAAGAATATCAACAGAGTAAAAAGGTGACCCGTAGAGTGGGAAAATCCCATAGACAGAGGAGCCTGGTGGGCTACAGTCCATAGGGTCACAAAGAAACAGACACAACTGACGCGACTTAGCACGCATGCATGATAAAGGATTTTTATCCAGGATATATAGTGGACTCCTAAAACTCAACAACAAATTAAAAAATTGACAAAGAAAATGATCAGACAGTTCTCCAAGGAAAATATACAAATGGATAATAAGCACATGAAAAGATTTTCAACATCTTTAAACATTAGAGAAATGAAAATCAAACATACAATGATGTACTGCCTCATATCCATTAAGATGGCCACTATTAAAAATAATAAGTATTGACAAGGATGAGGAGAAATTGGAACCCTTGTGTACTGTTGGTGAGAATGTAAAGCATTACACTCACTATGGAAAACAGTATGCTGCTGCTGCTGCTAAGTCACTTCAGTTGTGTCCAACTCTGTGCAACCCCATAGACTGCAGCCCACCAGGCTCCTCTGTCCCTGGGATTCTCCAGGCAAGAACACTGGAGTGGGTTGCCATTTCCTTCTCCAGGAAAACAGTATGATGATTCCTCAAAAAATTAAGAACAGAATTACCAAATGATCCAACAATACTACTTCCATGTATACACCCACAAGAATTGAAAGCAAGGTCTTAAAGAAATATTTGTACAACCACATACACAATAGCGTGATTCACAGTAGCCAAAAAAAAATGCGATACATACAATGGAATACTGCTGAGTTTTAAAAGGAAAATGATTCTGATATATGCTGCAACATGGATGAACTTTGAGGATATCACACTAAATGAAATACAACAGTCACAAAAAGATATGTATGATTCTACTTATATGAGGTACTTAGAGTAATCAAAATCATAAAGACAGTAGAGTGGTCATTGCTGGGGATTAGGGAGAGGGAAAATGGGGAGTTACTGTTTAATGAGTTCAGTTCAGTTGCTCAGTCGTGTCTGATTCTTTGCGACCCCATGAATCGCAGCACACCAGGCCTCCCTGTCCATCACCAACTCCTGGAGTCTACCCAAACCCATGTCCATCCCGTCGGTGATGCCATCCAACCATCTCATCCTCCGTCATCCCCTTCTCCTCCTGCCCCCAATCCCTCCCAGCATTAGGGTCTTTTCCAATGAGTTAACACTTCGCATGAGGTGGCCAAAGTGTTGGAGTTTCAGCTTCAACATCAGTCCTTCCAACGTACACCCAGGACTAATCTCCTTTAGGATGGACTGGTTGGATCTCCTTGCAGTCCAAGGGACTCTCAAGAGTCTTCTCCAATACCACAGTTCAAAAGCATCAATTTATCGGCGCTCAGCTTTCTTCACAGTCCAACTCTCACATCCATACATGACTACTGGAAAAACCATAGCCTTGACTAGACGGACCTTTGTTGGCAAAGTAAT